TTCTATTTAACCCTTAAAGCAAAAAACGAAAAAAGCTAAATATAGTCGAAGCTTTTATGACAATACATATAGGTATACAACAAAACCATGTAAATTACTCTATTATGATGTTTTTAGATACAAAAACTATTACCATATAAAATAATTCAAATGAATTCGTATCAGCTATAACACTAAAGTTTTCGTAAATTGATTCCGGATGAACCTCCTATAAACTGTAGATATAAAAGCAAGAACAATAAAAAATCCAAATAACTTCGTGATAACCCTATTGAGGCAATAAACTCCACTTATATCAACTACATTCAGTTTAAACTTAATAGAAGTGTATATTCATAAATCTTATTTGCAAAAACACATTTTTAATTACTTGTTTAAGAGTTAACATAAATTTGGAATTATAAAGGGATCAAAAATTATAATTTTGTGGACAGAAATATATAACAGCATTTAAAATCTATGAAATATTTGTTAAAAACGTTCAGATAAAGTGAGATTTAGGTTTTACCGTTTTAAATGTTATATAAAAACCGTTCCATATTGTTCAATTTAATAGTCGTTCAGAAAAAACTGACTATTGTTATGCACTCTAGAGCCTACTTATTGTCAATTGTCATTTTATTTCCTCCCTTTTTATATATTTTTTAAGAAAATTACTCTAAAATATTTTAATAGACTTAGATTATCTGTATGGAAGATTTTAAATCTCTTAATTATATATGGCTATTCTTCACAAACAGTTAAAAACTTTCTAAATATTAAAATTATTGATTATATGTAATACCTAATTAGTCGTTCTTTTATAAATATGTTCAATTCCATATTAGTTCCGCAAAAGTTATCTAAAGAGTCTGTATATGAAGACGAAAAAAAAAAGAGATTATAATTAGTTGTAAGACGAGAATTGTCGCACAGGCGACTACATAAGCGGTATTTCAAAACATAAAATGACAGACAAAAAGCACAATGACGTCCTTTAAATATAATATTATATATCACGAGTCCAAAGCTTTATGAAACCTGATATTTTTGTCATATCTTTATTTATTGCTTTTGAATAGAACAAGCTTCGGCGTTCAGAAATGCTATTCACGTGTGTCTTGTGTCACGACACAAGATGGATCTTGAAATTGTCGGTGCAAATGGTATATTTTTTATTAATTAATTATACAGAATTAAGATTTTCACGTATTTCAATATTTATACGTATTAAAGATATTACACAAAAAAAACGATTTAAATTACTTAAATATAATTCAGTATTAATATAAATTTAAATTTATGAGCCATATAAAAATTTAGTATTTTATTCATAAATATGCATAATCAATACGCAATCGATGAATATTCAGAAGGTCGTGATGTTGATACCTACAGACACATGTCAGTGGAAAAGATAACGGAAAATCTGTCATTTATTGAAAATTAATGCTAAGTTAAATCATTTTCATCATATATACTCATACATTTGTATCTAATGGTTTTATTTTTTGAATAATAATTATCGTGGAATGTCACCAATAAATAAAAATATGTACTATTGTACAAGTTAAACGAAAGACGTACGGTTTGACATACAGATTAAATATCAATAGACGGACAAATTAATCCAATACGTATTACATTTTTATTAAGAGCCAGTGAGCGTTAAAAATTTCAAATTTTGCACAAATCTAGTCGCATTTAAAGTATTGTATTACACGTTGTATTAAACAGCCAGTTGACAATGTCGTGCGGATATTAACCCACAAAAAATGTCCTCGAACGTCCCGAGGATTTTCCGCTTCACGCAGTAGTGCACTCTCCGTGAACGGAGTCGGCAGTTGACAAAATATTGCATTGTTCCTATTATCTACATAGTATTTATTTAAAAACGTTATTTAAATGGATGATTTTAAGCCCATTCCGCTGATACAGCTATTGTCCCCTAATACATTCAGAAACGTTACATTAAATTATTGAATTGCTTTCAATGCATCATTTTAAATATATATATAAGTATATATTTATAGAACTAATCACTAGAGTATGTGGTATATTGGAAGACTTACAATTGGTATTAGCAGTGATGGCTAACAGAAGATAGCGTGCAACCAATTTATTACCTTTATTACTTTATTCACTTTGTTATAGTCATCAAGCTATCGGCGGTCATAAATTTGAATTCTCAGTGACAATCTATAAAGGTAATGAGGGCAATCATCGGTCACCGAGCCAATAAAATAATAGAAATAAATTTGATATGACCGACATATGGTTTGCTCTAACGCGTGGTGAACCCTGTTATTGCTGTCAAACATGCGATAAATAGCTCAGTGGAAGTAGATTCCATTTCATCCGCACGTTGATTACAGCATTGGACCGTTGGACTATAATGTGGAACGTATAACAAAAACCGATATGTTCACACCCCTTTCTGTTTTTGATTCACTGATGACCAAAAAGTAAATTCCTGTTTATTATTATTCCATTAGCCGTCGCCCCATTTTAAAAAATATGTCAACAGATGACGAGTGGGGAAGTGCGGGAACAATCTGCACGGAGGTCGCGACCCGAGAATATTCAATGTGTTTATATAAAATAATTTTCGTGTTCGACAACTGACGACACAATGCCGTATATTTTTTGCTTCGTCGATAAATTGGAGGGATTATCATTTAATGGAGGGCTCATGTTCGCTGGGCTTGTCCCGATTCCCTATGACTGACGTGATTTTATTAACATAATATAAAAATGTCGATGCAAATTGAATATTTAATATCGATGTACCGACGACTTCAATAGCAGAATAGGCTGATCAAAATGCTCCAAAGACAAGATATCGTTGTTTAAATCACCGTTTAAATTTGTTACGTCATTTTGTAACAAATGTTATTTTTTTGTTACATTTAAGATTGTTGTTAAAATGTATATCAGTGATTCTCATGTACATCAGATTCCCAAATTCGATAACAAGGTAAATTGTGGTAAAATTCCCAAAATTATTTTAATGTATTGCATTTAGTGCTAATCTCTTTTATGTCACCGCAAAAAAATCTAAATCCCTTATTGTGATGTAGGAAAATATATTTTTATGAACTATAAGATCTTATCGTGTCCCAGCGGAGTCTCCCCGTTTGTTTACTCTAAATATTTTGCTACACAATGAAATTACATGACATCTGTACTACAAATAACGGGAATATCTTTATTCATACCGCGACTGTAAACACGGCCCCCTCGCATTTGTATTGTCACATCGTAGAGCGTCTGCTTTCTGTCCTATCCTTAATATTATCATGTCTAATAGGTTACTATTTATACAACGATGTATAATCTCATATCTGATTTATTATAAACGTCACCGTTACGGAACTTTTGTTGAATAAATAGAGATAATTCGTTTTTCAAATGAAATTTGAAATTAATATTGTTAGTGATGAGTATATTATTTATTATGTATAAAAACTTTCTCGGATAAATTCGTGATTTTTAATGATTTACACATACTAGTTTTCAAAAAAAAATCTTTAACTTATATATCAGAAATAAGACACTTAAATTGTCATCGAACAGAGACATTGAATAGCGAAAGCAACATAGATATTTTGATGAGCTCTTATAGCATAAGTTGTGGGAGTGTAAAACAAACAAAATCATATAACATTTTGTAAGACTATAAAGAGTACTGTGAGGCAGATAATATTATTTTATTACAGGAGAGCAGGGAAGCGATTTACAATAAATAACTTCAATATTAAAGTCCTCCCCCATATTGATATCAATAGTGCGACGACAAATCCATACGCTCGCGGCGGTTACAGATATAATAAACATTTTTGTCAGAAAATATTTATCATCTTTAACATACAAAACACATCAATCCTATACTTTCATTGTTCTAACTTTAAGAATTGCTTATAATAATTAGTAAAACATTAGCATAAATATAATCATTAAATTAATTATCAAACTATCAAAATATCAAAAACAATTTATTTTGATCACATATTTAATAAGTAATATTTTATATTGTGTTATATGAGAAAATTGCAACTAACCGAATGTTGTCAATACAGGATATCTCATAAAACGGTAAAACAGTCGTTTCGACAAGGAAACCTCTATTAGTTTTCTTTACAAGTCGTATTGACAATAGTATCGTCCTTCTGTACGTCATCTGTGTCACTAAACACCGCTATATATAGCGACTACCTGCTTTCTCTGTTTTGTTTACTACAGGTGTATGGAAACAGCTCTCTGTATTCTACGCTTGTTTAAAACTAGACTTAGCATTTATATGGCCGCAAATATAGCACTATGTCTAGGTCAGTATTTCGATCTTTATAGATCATTTGTTTGTATGAAATACAAGTTTTTAATAATTTTTTATATATATTAATGGCAACATATATGTATATATACATATAAATTAACTTACAGCTCAATTCCTACACCAGATGACAGCTATGCCAAATTGAAAAGCGAAATATGAAAGAAGCATGATCTATGGATATAAAACTCCCTTCACGGCAAGAAGAATTGTTTGCAATTAAGAAATAAATCATAGATAGGTCAGCTTTGTGTTTGAAGCACGTTATGACCGCTCGGTTTTCATTTCGGCTCCATCACTTTGCCCGGGCAGCCATTAGGAACGGTCACCAATTTATCATTAAGGCAATTTTTACAATTATTGTTTGCTTTTATTGACAGTATCAAATCGAAGTATACTCTACTTCGTAACCATGGTACAAAGTATCTATATCTTCCGAAATATAGAGGTATTTGTGCTCCAAAAAAAATCATATGGGTGTATAAAAATAGACATAGTCATTTCCTATTTACAGTTATGTTACAATTATGTTTTATGTTTTTGGTATTGTATGATAACACTTAACTATATGCCAATTTATATTACTAAAATAAAATAAATATTTAAAAATAGTAGAGTATAATCCAGTCATGACCGGACTGGCCAACGTCCACCCACGCACAAGGACGCGTGGGTGTAAAGATTATTCTCATTCAATTGAACCGCATTGTGCGCCGGCGCATGCCACTCTCAGCCACCTCTTAATTACTACGCAGCTGCTGACCCGTCCATCTGGAGCATCACCACCTACATCAAAACTACTACAGGATGATCTATACATACACAATACATAACACTCATATTAACCAAATTATAAACAGTTTTAAAAAATATTTAGCAAAACTAAAGATACAAACAAAAATCGTAACTACTTTCTGTTTTTTCTTTGCAAACATTTTAGAGTCAAATAAGCAAACAAGAAAAAAATTAATTACATACATAAATATTTGCATAATAAGGAACTCGGAATAAAATGCTTTCACTCAACTCACATCTAGTTCTTTATATTTGTTTGTTATAAATATTTTTGAGGTTAATAATGTTCCTAATCTATATTTTAAAATCACTCTGTATAGTAACATTTCGATGATATTGTCAATACAAGGTGAGTGTCCAGTGACAATGGTGTATTAGTTTTGAGTGGCCAGACGTCCGGCAAATCTCATTTGTGGATTTATCATTAACCGTATTCCACACACCCTTGTTACAAAGCCTATTAAGCGGTATTAATTTTATTTCCTTTTCCCAATATCTTCCGGCTTATTTATTTAGTTATTATAACAATACAAAAGCTATGTGTCAGCCTGCATGTCAGTATGTAATACTGGTTTTATTTAGTAACAGTAACTTCATTAAAAGGGATATACTAATAATGTTAGTAAGAGAAAAACTTTTTGCAAATATGTACAAATTGTTTTATGTGCAAACAACAAACAAAGAAATGGATCTGAATCACCGTCAGTAAAATATTATCATAGTGTATTGGACAAAGGAGCTTGTCCTAATCGCAATGCTTATCAATTCGCTTTTGTCTTAATTTGATGACCAGTTATTTATGTCCGTTCCCAATCGTCATAAATTATACCAGTTTTGCTGCAACCTAACACTAAAACTACTATGGCCCTGTCAAAATTCACATAAATAATGAGTAGAGAGATATCCGGATCGATGTTATCTTCAGCTCGGGACAAGACTACGAACGGTTATAAACAAAAGTCAGTCTAATGACTGAATGAGCCATCGTAAACCCTTAATATTTACGCGCGACTCTTTCAATTCACTCTTTGAAAAGGTTTTATACGTCGGTCTAGAGTCTCCCCTCATTCCCCAGGCGCCTACACCAGTCGCGTCGCTATATCTGATTTATTCATACCACCCGAAACACATGATCGGTTTTTGGGATAGCGGGTATTTTGTTATATTTTTTTTTTTTCATTTTATTTTATTTATACCACTGCTACTGCCGCAATGTTTAATTGAGGCGAATATTAATTGTACCATATCGACGATACGGCTCGGAACGATGCATTTTTAATAAACTTCGGTTGAGTTGGTCGTGATATGAATAAAAATTGTGCTGGACATTTATTTATTTTTTTATTTAGTTTCAAACGATCGTTGTTTTTGTTCTCATTAATCGGTTATTTTGACATTGTTGAATTACAAATTCCGCGACTTAATTTATTGGTTTATCGTTTTTTGAACATTGCCATCAATTTATAAACATTGGCTTTAAATATTTCAGAATTTCATTTATTTGTTTCATACACATGAAAAAGATAAGCTTTTGTGAAATAGAAATTGATGTTGCTTCCAACTTTGTATTTTAATTGTGTCACAAACACATAAATGCTTTGAGCCGTGACAATGACATATAGGAAATATCGGGTTGCAATTAAAACTATTGCGACTTGTTAACTAAACTGCGAGTGGGAGGACAACTGCAGCAGATGTGCGACCCTAGTGACCTTCACGCTCACCCCCAATGATCGCAAACCCATCCTTATATCCCAATATGACACCATTGTCTTTGACACTAAATCAATTCTTTAAAACCATTTCCAGGTGGCACGCATTTGCTGATAACGTTTCCATATTTATAGTCACTCGACGTTCGTCATTAAGATAGTGTCAAAACTGACTGGCGCTCACTTACGGGTCAGACGGAGCACTCATAATTATTACTAATGCCTTAAATATGTCAAAACAGGAATCCAGGTAAAAAGGCCTAATTTACGCGCGGCCGATAGAGTTTTGGCAGTTGGCGCCGAGCTCGGGCGGTCTTCGCGAGGCGCCGAGTTTTTGTTCACTATTGTCTTTGATATAAATTTTAAATAGGAAATGTTCCTTTTTATGGAGATCTAGTTTACGGCAATGAAGACGGTATAAATCTAACGTCTGCGTCACTGTTACTTGGCGATGATCGATCGATAAACGTTATTTATGTATTTCCGCTGAACTGTACGCTATTGGATGCCTCAACGTGAGTAAATTCGTTAAAATGTATGAACACCATTCCGATTGATTTATAGATATTTTTAATTGTTGCTAATTTATGTTCTCAGATAAATGTTGGTAAGGCGCATATTACTTCCGTGTTTTAATAGCATTATTGTGTTTTAAATATCTTCTAGCAGTAATAAATTGTCTTTATAAATTCACATACTTTATTAAAAAAAACTTTTACATAATTTTTTATGAAATGAAGAACATGTTTATAAGGAAAAAAGTCTATATACTCATATAACTATTGAGAGTATACTCAGTTTAAAATAGGCTCAGAAAATTTTAATATGAATACACAAAAAGTAACAATATTATCTGTTTCTATACGGAGATACAGAATTCCAATAGTGTAAAGTTATCGCAAACCTAATATGGGAAAATGAAGTTCCTACATAAGCACACGTCTGTAGTCGTCCAAGTAATAACCAACTTGAGATCGCTCATTGAATTCAAATGACCCGCCGACCCACATGGTAACATTAATAGATGCCACATCACGATTATGACACATTTTAATTTACATACTCATGTTTAAAGCCCTGGTTTAATAGTCAACAGAATAATATCCAATCGAAATCCTGCCAAAACTTACTATTCTGAAGAGAGACAGTTTAAATTTTTGTAAAATAATGGCAAACAATGAAACAATTGAAATAAATAAGGCGCGAAAAAGAAATCACAGCGTTGCCGAATAACGTTAATAACTTGACGATACTAAGTTGAGGGCGTTTGTTTTTATTTTAGTTCTCTCTTCCAACCAATCTCTAATGAATACGGTTTATCTTCAAGTTTATATAAAAAATAAATCGCTTTTAACTGAAGAATCACGCCTTAAAAAAGAAACGCTTATTAAAATTTATTTCTTTCTCTCCTCGCGGCCCTGTCTTGTACATCGCCCGGAATAAAATTAAAAAGTCGAGAATTCTTATTTATTTTAATACAATAAACCGCAATCGCTGAATAAAGATAAATAAAAAGCAATAAAAAATAAAATCGCATTAGCAATAAACAAAATACTTCAGCGGATGTGGGCAGAGCGCAGAACACGCACATGGCCATACGTAGAGAAGAGGCGCCACTTCAATAATTATTCCAATTATTCTGGTCACGACTACTTTATTATAATTATTTATATTTAACATTTTTTTTAACAAGTTTAATTATAAATTGATATTTTACTTTCGTGCTATAAATATTTTTTTGTTATGTTAAATTCAAAATAATATAAAAATATGAAAGCAATGAGATGTATGATAGTACAGCAATGTTGATAACTTTATATCATGTTTATATATTTGATATAACGACTCCATCGCCATCTCTGTTCCGTCTGTCACGAGTGCTACACTCTGTGGCGTATTCTTAATTGTGCCGAAATATTTATTTGATTGCAAACTGTGGCGCTGCCGTGCAACCGAAATGGTCATCGGCATCCTTGCGACCACCACAATACGGATTGTTTTGAATAGCGACAATTAGAATCACGGGATGTGTGTCTTATCTATTATCTTATTATTTTAAACAGATACAACACTATCAAACAGATATATATATATTTTTAAGAGTTTTCCACGAGTAATATAATTATATATTTAATGAAATAGCTGCTCAGGTTAATGCTTTATTCCATGACATCATATGCGGGTGAATATAACAACGATAAAATAAATTATAAGGTCAAAGAAACTATGAAACGTATATTTGCCGAATCAATTAATATAAACTTTGTTATACAAAATGTTGTCTAAACAATGACATACCTTTATATGTGATAGTGACACGGGAGCCTTGCTCGTCAAGCGTTGGCCTATCATAGATCTAAATAGGCCACAAATCAATACTCAATACATTCATAATACTGTAACTAAACGCTTGCGTGAAGCAAGCATGAATCAAAGTATGAAACGGCTCGGAACAACTGAGTCGACTGAGAGCCAACAATCGAGATGCGAGGAGAAGATAACGATGTCAACCAGCTCAGTCACAGCCGTTCCCATGATTCGCGATTCCGTTCTATTCCTTATAATTACCGCCTATCCATCAAACAGACGTATGATAAACAGATTTGATCAGCTATATATATCCAAATCAATTTAGCGCTACGGTTTGAGATACAACAGATCATTTTTGCGCTGTCGACGTGTTTATGAATGTCTGCGAGTCCTTTGATCGTTACAGAGATGTCACCAATGGTCTTTTATCGAATTTTTAAGCGATAAATATAAACGAAATCTGTCAGCTAGAGGTAAAGTTTATATCAAATGCTCTAATTTGTGCTATAACTTTCAATTCAAACAATATACATGGATGGCCCTAACAAAGCTAACTAATTATCGTGGCGCGGCATGTCGTAAAACAGTGCATATTGACGGAATATAGAGAGGCCGGCACACAGTACTTAATGACATTAATCACATTGATTTATTGTGGTTCCGAGTTATTACAGGCCAGACGCGTACTAGTGTGCGTTTGTGTACATACATCTAGGATATGTCTGTGTGATAAAACTTCTTGTTAAAATATTACACACAATAGACAACACTAAAAATAAGTAACAATAAAAATCGTATATTTGTTAGGAAAAAGGAACAAAGTTCATTAAAATAATGATATATAAAATATATGTATGTAAACATACTTTAAAATGTATACTTTCCAATTGATATTGAGATTTAAAAAAATGAATTATATAAAAAATATGTTATATAAAAGTAAGAACACCCTAGCTAGTGTACATGTCATGGTCTTAGATGAGTGTGTGCGTTCACGGCATTAGGCAACAATTTACGCTGTTTGCGGCGTGTTAATATTGATTGGCTCGCTTTATTTCGTCTAGCGCGTATCTATCTGCAATTCTAACACATCATATTGTAACGTATTCCTTATAAATATACCTAATGAAAATAAAAATTCGTACCACTAAATTATTTGTGGTACCAAATCGCATCACGCAGATCAAAAGATCATTAAGGAAAAATTCACTAACGTATAAATTTCATCAAGTATATTATCCTATCGAGATACTAGCGTACGGAGCAACAATTTATTGCCCAAACTCTAGTTAAATTGCATCCTCTACTCAAGTCTAGCTATAATTAATTTGTTTCAGAGAAATTGCACTTAGCTTATATCGGATAGATACTGTCGATATTCGACGCATAAATTTAATCTTTCTGCGGTTCCAGTTAGCAATACATTAGAGGTTTTAAATGATGATTCAAGAGTATGGGAATAATAATACAAACTGTATTTGTGAGGTCTGAATGTATGTTTATATGGTAGGTTACTTGGACACAAGTTTATTTGTTGTGAGTCCTTGCAACCTACTTCATCCATGGGAACTGCAGAAGCGTGGTCGGTCAGCGTTTACAATGTCTACGTGATTCAACGATCACCACGTCTCTCTACCGATCCCAGCCCGCATATCAATCGAGGCATTATAATTTCATAATGCACGCCTGTCAACATAAATAATACGCAAAATTTATGTTACGAGGTTCTCACCGTTCGACATAGGCGCAATGAATACGTAATGGACTATCATTAACCATGGAACAGTCACTTCTACTCATATTCGTATGTGGACGTGGATATAAATTCAATTGAATATTTGTTTTGTATACATTAGAATAATATCGCTATGCTCATATAATACTTATTGGATTTGAGGAGAGCTGTTTAATTTATGTAATTAGTTGTTGTAACTCACGTCTCCGACTTCATGTCGTTAGTTTTACATTTTAATATAACTTAAGGAAGCTATGTGAATTTATTATTTATCTGAAATAAATATTCTTATAAAAAATTAAGTATTTAGCTCCTGATGTTGCCGTCATTAGCAAAAGAAGTTATAAGGTATATTAATAACAATGGCATACGCAGATAAACGTAGGGCGCGACCCCTCATGATTAGACGTGTCCATTGTCCATCATCATTATTTAAACGACCAATTAGCTCTTTTAAGACATCTCAAATATCATATATTATTCGCATTTATTTATTTATTTATTCATCAGATTTCATTTAATGGCTTTTATCAATTAAATACATTAAACTCTAATTATAATCTAATACATGGTAAAATCGAATATAATTATAATATAAGAGAGAAATAATTTAGTTTTATTTATACAGAACGTAATAAAATTAAATACAATCATAAATACTAAGGCGGAATACGGTGGCCGCGACGGAAGACACATCCATCATCCACCCGCCCTGAATAAAAACGCTCGTTAGACCTCCCCTACCCCCCCCCCCCTTCCCGACCATCCACCACCCCCTACCTGCTCTATTAATGTTACACTCAAGTGCCTCTATTACGACTGCCATTTATTATATCCATTTTCGCGAAGTGATCTCGTATAATGATATTCATTATCCTCTAAAGAAAACAATAAGCCCGCTCAAGTGTTATGTTCTAAGAAAAACAAAAGCTCATTAAGAAATAAAGAGATATTTTGTTAGATATCAGCAAAAACGACAACGATATGTCAACTTCAAATAACTCCAGACAAACAGGATGAATCTAAACAAACCCTAAAGCCTCTAGGGCGCGTTCAACGAACAGCTTGACGGAGCGCTGTCACAGAAATCTCTTTTAAAACTATACGGAACCCGTTGCGTATTAAAATTATTATGAAACCACCTCACCGCGATAAGGCGGGATGATACCGGCTTAGCACCCCCACAGACCTCCACAGACCCCCAGTAACCCCCCCCTCCTCCCACCACTATCGCACGCTACTCGAATGCCTTTTCAGCGTATATCTACATGAAAAGTTGCGTCTGAGGTTTATGCATAAGTTTGTCTTGTATACACTTATCTCAAAGCGAGCCTTTTTACTTATTACGTATGTAATGTGTATGTTTTTTTAAGATACATACATTTTAGATATCATAATGAAACAATATAACTATTATATGAACAAGTTGAGGTTCGGATATATGATAATAAGTAGAATAATAAAATATCGATATATGAAATAATGAGAGTGTTGTAAATTTCTTTAACTTAGTATAGAAACTTGGAACATTAACCATTGTAAGTTATTTGAACAATGTAAATGCTGCCGGCTAACTTTATGCACTGCCTGCAATGGTAGGTATGTCGAACGACAATTATAACTTTGGCCGGACGCGAACAGAGCGTTCCACAGCAACAAATAAAATATGTCCACGGAAACGCGAGAAGGGGACAGCAGAACGAAATTTCGTACACGAGACAAAGATAAGCTTAACCAGCATGAAATTATGAGCGTTTAACTGTTTCTAGCTGCAGGATCTGGCACGAGCGCTTCGCCGGCTCGCCAGCGTGCGTTATTTACGAGAGGGAGGCAGCGCCCGAGCCTGAGATAGCGCCTTCCCCGGAAGAGTCCCGCGATACCCGGCTCTTCCCAACACCAGCCCACTACAAGCCCCTACAGCCTACAACACACACCAACTCACTCATACAGATTGCTGCCCTGCACTCACTGACTAAATGACACTCAGACTTCACCTCTATTGCCTCTTTTGTATGACAAAACAATGCCTTAATTGCGCGGTTGCTCTTCGCACAACATGAACGTTTTCCTTTACCCTATAGTCTGTATTTCTTGTTTACGATAGCATAAAAGTATAAACTGTAAATTTATGCAACTATATTACTATATCACGTACCGTGTACCTTGATTAATTCTAATACAATGTAAAGAGGAATTTCAATCTTTTTATTTGATCTTATGTACATGTGGTCTTGAATATATCTAGATCAAGAACTTTGGCTATAAATAACTATGAATCCGTTGCCATTACGAATTTAGGAACATACATATTTCAAGTACAATAGAAACGAAGGGTCAAGTTACTTTATCATTTAAGTGAAAATATACGACACAGGGAAAAGAGAAAAATGTACAAAAACAGTGGAGAGCATTATACCGCGAGAGGACCATTACTTTTAATATAAATAAAATAACAAAATATGAGCGTCCGGCCGCCGAGTGCCCCTGGACACTTTTATATTTCAGATGCGACCGAAATTATAGTGCGACTTATTATATACACTTACAATGACATGTTTATATTTAGACATAGAGGGTTATAATACAACTATGAAAGAGCTAACAATGAGATTTTATTTTATAGACGAAACTTTTTAAAAACAAAACCTTTATTTTGAATATAAATAAAAGTATAGATTAATATTAAAATATATAATGGTTTATTTCGATTTTTAAACATCAAAACGTGAAATGTAAATCAAAATAGAACAATCATTCTTTACTTGAGTTATATTAAACAAGAAAAAATTGACATAAGAACATAACTCAAAGGACGTAATTGATTGATAAATTTTAAAAGTTGTGTTAGTATTTGCTAATATATGAAGCATTATAATTGAATGCCAAAGCCATTAAAAATTATTAAGCCACGATTAACTGTTATAAGCCAAATGTCAATGTAATAGATCATTGCATAAGAACTGACATTTGATGAAATTATTTAATGCTCCGATGATAGATAAATAACTTTTAATTATAAACACTTACATAAGTTCTATTTATATAAGAAATAAACGTAATTATTCACTTTATAATCTTTAACGACATTTATTTTTTTCAATTAATTTCAGTAAATTTTTTGTACGAAATAAATAACGATGCTCAAGTTAAGTTTCTGTGTAATACGATTTATTTTTTTGTATTTTGTTTTATAACTGTACACAAAAAACGTAATGCCGATGACTTCATTTCTTTACTTACTAATTATCAGACATTTATGAAAATTGCTATAATTTGAAGTGATCTTGACATGTAAGTTGCAATATCCGTTATTAAAGTTACGTGTAAAAATGTGACAACATTCAAATAATGGTAATTTGATGCTTTCAAATTTCTGCTCGATTCCAATTTCGGTACAACAAGATCGAAAATTAACAAAAGTTTACATAACATGTTTTAAAACTTGTAAAAAATTGTTTTAAGGAGATAAAAAGACGGCTAAATCGCTTATCCCCAAAGATCTGAACGATAAGGAAAGCGATAACCCTTTGAAGGTCACCGAGAGTCAATAGTGAGGCGCTAAGCCATGTCAATGGAGCCCTATTTCGGCATTCACCGACCCGAACCAGAATATACGAAAGGTGCGTGCTCTTCCGTGATACAAATTACAAACCTCTTATCAATCAACGTCAATGTAATAACTTAATTTTGACATTTAAATATTTCCTTACGACGGCATCATAAAGACACATGATTACTACAACCCATACCTCATCCCGACTCCAATGGCCGCCCATCGACTTGTACTAATTACGATATCCAGACCTTACAAGGCTTCAACCAATATCGTTCGGATCGTAAACCGCGCGATATAACTATAGACGCCACAATAAAACCGCGCGAAAATGGCAATTCGGAGGGAGATATTAAAATGCATGGAAATAAATTCGGCGTCGCATTCAGTACAGCTCTGGGGGTGCAGTAAAAATAAACAGCGACGCCATTAGAACTCACTTCCATATTCAAATTTATGAACGCGTCCGCACTCCGACCCACCGGTCATTCTGCCATAATACATTTGACGATTTAAAAAAGCAACCCCCGTTAACCGCTCGCAAAATATATATGATATTTAAATTTTATTCCATTTAAAAACCGGTGACAAACGATTTTAGTCCCAAATTGAAAGCTTTTAATAACACAATTGACTATTTCCATCATATAATCCCTTAATGCGATGTACAAGGAGGTTATGTTGAAATAAATTAAATTAATAGACAGAACGCTCACATAGAACAGGAGCCATAAGCGTGCTTTAGCTTAAATAAACATACGTTTTCAAAAATTTGTGTATTTAAATTGAATGTGACTTGTGTTACAGAGCTATTTCTGTTTAACAGACGCACTGATGGTTCTGAAATAACACCGATACCGTTCAAGGAACTCACATTAATTCATATGGGATTAGGTGTCATCATAAACAGGAATTATTTAGTCAACTGAGGTTAAGACTAACAACGCGCCATTATCTAATTACCTGGAATATGTACATTATGATTTTTAGTTAAATACGTTTTGTCACTTATTTTTGTTTTATATTATATATGTAATATAATACTAATTTGTAAATATTATGCCTGGCAGAAAATGTATTTTTAAATGATAGAATAGAATGTTTTGAACAATATTTTTATTTAAAATTATACAAAAGGAGAGTTCCTCAACATTTTATTTCTAAAATAAAGTTTCCATACAAATCTGTTAATTTATATCAATTACTATAATTTGTACATAAAAAACAATACGTTTCTATTTTTATGCTTGGCAATATATTATTAGTTCCGTATTTTTCTTTGTAAGAACTTACAATGTGTTACAATGTATTAAAAACGTTTAAAACAACACAGTAAAGGATATACTACACTTGTAAGCATTCAGCAGGCGTTGGATGTAATTGTAAGAAAAAAGGTAATCATTATTTCTACAAGCCTTTCCTGAATCCCATATCAAAGCTTTCACGTGCTTCACCTGATCGACTCTACCGCGCTCTATTGTAGAGTCCCATGTTACTTAGGTACCTATATTGTCATTTTATTTATTCATTGATCGCTCTATTCTAAACTGGATCGTTATCAAAACAAGATAATATTATCTCTATTTCTTATAAAATATACTAATATAATATACATATGTTACGATTGATTAAAAAAACTTAATGTTAATGCGAGAAAAAAACATATAAATAAATCAGTTGATAAAAAAAAACTAATTGTTAAATCGATAACGAGATAGCTCATATCATTATTGCTACATAAATTTTAATCATCTCGGATACGAAAAAAAAAAGCAGTGAAAGAAAATTAATTAAAAAGTATTTGTCATTGATATCGTGTCGGCGGGAGTCAGGGTTCAGCCGGCCAGTGACTGGCAGATTCGGATAATTGCTCGATCGTATTAATATCCAACACTATGTGTAGTGGATATTTAATTTAAATCACACAAAAGCGACGCGGCTCCCGACATCCGCTCTATGATAACGCTATGTTTTTAAAACATTCGAGCGTCACCATCTTGTTACGGATGTCAATATCGAAGGATTCTATACAGTTTTTTTATTAATCGACCGGCTATGATGAGTCAGCCGAACTGTTAACGATATATATGTATTAGGTCGAGTTAATTAACATTTCTTTAATTCGATTACAAACGTGACGTGACGTGACGGCTGTTCGGAAATATATATGTCGATACGTAAGTAATTCTTTGCTTAATTATAATTGTCATTCATATTTTTATTCTTACAATTGAATAAAATTATACAAAAAATAATATTATGTACCACGAAAACAACGTTAGTTTTCTTAGTTCTCTAATTCTCTATATAAAATAATTTGGCGTACGTTCTATAAAAAACTGCATAACAAGCAATATTGAAGCAATACAAACAAAGGATTAAAACTTACAATGTGTAGCTCAATTAGTGATTGTGGGAGGCTCGTGTGGAGAGCCGGCTCGCGTGGAGCGTCTCTGGGAGAGCCGAGACCGCCATCTAGCGGGCATCCTCCGCCCTCCGCCGGCTCGCATGTCACTTATGAATATGAGGCGTTATGATTATTAAAATATGCTCCGCCCCGAATATTGAATATGGTGGAGGGAGTCTGGTGCGGAGCGTGCGAATGGACGAAGTTTGATTTATGAGCCGGGCGCGGCTCCGCCTCCTTGTCATAACCTTATACCTGGTGCGCGCGCGCGACTGCCGCCGCTCTCCACCGCCCGCCGCCACCGCCCGGAGGCTCGCGGCTCGCGCTCAGTCCCGCGTCAGATGGCGAGAGGCGAGCCCGTCTGTGCACCGCGACCGATCTGTACACAGGCTCCGCGCGAGTGAGTCCTCTACCACCGCCGGCGATGCGAGCCCTGTGAGCCGCCAGCGCTGCCACACACCACCTACCATCGACGGACCACCGACCACCGGCCACCGACCATGCCGCGCGTCAAGCCAGCCTGCGTCCGACGCGTCTCCATCGGTACATATCCATCAGCTCGATCACCAACCGACACACGACCGTACATAGGATCTGTGAGTTTAGTTACGGAATACGGAGTATGGAATACGGCATTCATAGTTCACCTCCACGATAATGTTCCGTATGTTATTGTTAGCGGTTATAAAAAAATGTATTAAAAAGTGAGCTCTCGTAAACAGTGTGTGTGAAATATAACCCGACAGTTGGTCGTGGATAGTGTGCCCTAGGTAGGTGTAGTGACTCGTTACTAGGGTCTAGGGATTTGGTGAGTCCAATTCATTGATTAAAAACTATGATGACCATGGAAATATTCAAAGCTTCTAAGAAGGGATAATCAAAAAATACAAAGCTACAAACAGCTATATGGTTTTGAGGGGTGAAGCCAAAGCAAAAAATTCTTTGTTGAAGTGAAGTGAGCTTTAAAATCATTAGACAAAATACACATATATTTGTAAAATTCAAGATTCATATCAATTGATACCTTTTTGGTTTATATGACGATAATATCAATTTTTTTTGTTCATCACAAAAATCGAGTTATCTCAGTAATTTTGTATAATTTGTTAGCGTACGTTCAACGAAATGAATTCAACATTGGAATACCGAAGGCTTCATTCATAATTTATGTGAACCGATATTTTTTAACCTTCATTAAGTGATGATAAAAGGAATTCAGCGTCGTCCAAAGTACGTTTATTTAATTTTATTAACATAATATTTAAAATATAAAATCAATTAAATGTACCAATTAATATTTCTAACATTCAGTCACCGACTAAAATATGTTTATATTAAAATTTGTTTGTATATCACAGTATTTTATAATGTACGTATATTTATACATACATGTTTAATAAAACATTTTTTAATACTTTTTTCGGAACCCTAATGGATAATTAATATTGAAAATCACATCGTAAAACTCCATATATACTTTAACATATAATTTAATAACGCAAAATGTTACCGTTTTCGGTGAATAAAGCCTAATATGTGTAAAAATAAAGCTCACATTTACGTAAGCGGCGCTTAAGTAACACATTCTGATAAAAGAGTTAAGTGGCTCTATATTAGTGGAATGACAGGCCGTCAATTTTTATTAATATAACTCAACATAATTTTACGACCGCTCTATAAATTGTTTCGAGAACTCAATGTTCCGATTGGTACAGGCTAATAATATTTGAGAAGTGAAGCGATCTATACTATGACAAAGTAAATAAAAAAAACTAGTCTTGAATCGAGTTCCTTGATATTAAAATGATATATTGATGACAAGCCATACTTATCGCCATCCATTAACCTTGAATAATGAATAATTCCTATTAATATAAATAATTTCAACTTTCAGTATGTGGATTAATTGCTGTATAATTTAAATTCAATAATATATTTGAATTACAATCATATTTTTATTTTGTTTTGTTACATAAAAAAACACAATAGATATAAAATAAAACGACCCGTCGACCCGGAGACAATAATTGAATGTATTTCAAAAACTTGTACTCATATAATTGTGTCAACTCGTATTTATTTATTGAGAACTAATATTTTAAATGGTATTTATTTTGTATGTAGTTTTAATTCTGCGTAAGACGCGCCGGTCGGCATCTTTGAATCTGAACAAAGCTTAAAGCCAAATTGCGACAAACAGACACCTCTAATCCACCTCCTTACAAACTAAGATACAACCACACCGGTATTTCGCTACAAATGAGACATTTAAGCCCTTACCGCAAGATTATCCTGGATTAATATGAATGTTTTGTGTCAGTGTTCAGTTTTCGCTACCATTTGGTACAATGTAAACATCCGTGGGACGTCCACTAATACTTGTATATATAAAATTTAACTTTCAAATATACATTTAAAGCATTCGGTCGTTATAACGTTGAGATAACGCCGGTTCCGAGTTTATGGGGAAAGTTGAAAAATCATGGCGATAAGCAAATTTATGCTTATAACTATGTGATGGTATGATAATTTATAATACGTACTTATAAGGTTTCGACACTTTCATATAATAAATGTTCATTTTACAATGCTCACATCATATTACTTTATTTAAGGCGATCTAAGTGAATAATACAATTAAAACTACAGTATTTAACGTTCGTATGGCTTTGTATTTGATGAAACGATAAAAAAAAAATATATGAAATAAACATAATGTGTATTCCTTTTTAATATTAATAGAAAATTTATTTAAAAAAAATTATATATCAAAGCTATGTACATATGAATTATAACAATGGATGATTAGTGATGCTCCAATATCAAAGGTTAAATAGATTACAGCCACTGAATATAATATAGTTAGGTAGAATACATTTTTAATATGTGTCGCTCAAAAGATGCTTCAAATATATAACAAACATACTAACAAAAAATTATAAGTTTACACAAAATCTTAGAAAATAAAGAAGATTAGCTTTTAATGACAACAAAAACGATGATTTTGTTTTGAAATATTATATGAATATTGTGGTTGTAAAAAAAATGTTAAGAATATCAATTTGGTAGAATTAACGCAATGTAAAAGCTCGCGAGTGTTATATCGTTCTTTAAAGATTTCAGACCCGAATTCAGTGTAATTTACAAAATAACTGAAAGAATTTGGTCGATAAATTAGCAAACTAAGAGACCGTTCTAATCGTTAAAAGGACAACATAATATAATTATTGAAACTAGTAACTGATGTACTCGAGGTCTATAATGCAAAGAGTTGAGTAATCACATAAAAATTACTCTAACCTATTGTATTATTGAGGCATTCCAAGAATATATTTAAAGAAATTACGTTTGAAAATTCCTCATATATTATTTTATTTAGGTATATAAACATAATAAATCTTAAATCTCATTTTATTAACTATTTTACGCTAAGTAAAAGAAATTTTTCTTCTTCTCCAGTTATTAATATAAATTATAGAGAATAAAATATTATTTTAAAATTATATTTAGCGATTATTTTTCATATAATTTTATTAAATTAGTTTTTATTTAACCGTTCTTATCAATTTATAACAAAACAATAAATATGTAATAACAACTTTTAACTTATAAAATGTTAAAGAGATATAGGAATTAGAACATCCTTTAACAAAAATAACTTTAAAACGTAGGTATGTACCTACTTAAAACGAAATAGAATTTAAAAAAGTAAATTAAAAACATTACTTTTATGAATGAATAATGAAAGAGCAGCTTATTAACATATAGTTTAAACGCAAATTTCTGTATATATATTCCAACATATAATAATATAATGTATACATAAATTCAGATATAAATTAAAAGTATTATCGAAAAGGAAATACAAGACTCCAACACTTAAATGGGGAGGTATTTATTTATGTGCATATATATCTTATAAAGATGGAAAAATATCGTAACATTGGTATCATATTAATTAATTTTACTATCATTATACATAACTATTTAAAATAATTATTATATTATAGTTATGTTGTTTGTAATTGCGTACAAATGTTGGGTTAGAGCTGAGTTTGAGCAAATAAATGTCGGTGTTTTATTATTATACCAAAAAAACTGTCTTTTAATAATCAATTGTAGGAATTTAAAAGAGGATTATTTTAAATTATTCCTTTTTTTAAAGATCCTATTACAATTATAATTTGTATTTTCATTTAGAAATTCTCTTTAATTAAATTCTATACTCCATACTTATAAACTTTAATTGATTATGTGATGTCCATTTTAACTTAGACTAACACGGTGCGTGACGATACGAAATGCTTACACAATATTTTTTACACGTAATGCATATAGAAGTAAAAAAAATGGACTTGTGATTTACTAGTGATTTACATAAGACTAGAAACTACTTTTTGCAAGTTCTACATCGTAAAAGGCGACTCTAAATTCGTTAAGTTATCTGAGTCTAGTTATTTAAATGGCAACGGTCGTAATCAATATGCAAGATATTAGATTCATACAGGGTATAAATCATTCAATTTATTTTCCTTAATTATACTTTGTTAGTATAAATCTTATATCCAATACTATTTACAGCAATTGAAATATTTCTAAGGATTTCCAAATAGAAGAACCATAATTTACCTACAGTTTTAGAAACTAAAAAGAGTTTCTTTTTAATATATAGTCACAGAACGTTTGTTAGCTATACGTATAACTTCTTAGCGAAATAATCTTCACCTCGTACAAAATTCAAAATGGTTTGAGTCCTGATGAAAAAATAATATTTTATTTACATTTTTATTACTTGTTAATAAATTAAACGGTTTAAAACAGATTTTTAAATGTTATAAATACAATACTTTTATCATAGTCTCTATGTTTAGAATTTCTTTAAAGCTTTAAAAGATGCAAAACCGTATGTGTAAATGAGTGGAGAGGATTAAGTAAAGGGTTTAAATATCATTTTAAATGTAAAGTGTTGTTTATTTGGCTTACCGTTTTCTTAGACACATAAGTAATACTTTATGCTTGATTGATGACTAAATTCAAGTTCTTAACTTCTTATTCAACTTAACTAAAAAATAAAACATTATAGCTTTTTATACTTTTATTATTTTGAGGAATTGATTTTAATAAAAACATGTTCCATAGATTTATCCCACACATTGCATTAACATAACTATTGCTTAATTTATTTTTTATACATAAAATATTAAATGATTAGAAAATTTACATAAAAATTGTTATTACTACAAAAGATACATAAGAAACACATAAAGAACGTTTATATGAACTAATATTGCCCACAACAACTGGAATTTCTATTATCTACGACTCATAAAAAATGGAGTTAATAAATCATACATTAATATAAAGTATCATAAAAATTTGTATACTTTTTTTACACTGAACCATTACAAAATATTTAATTCACTCATATCTTTATATACCGTATTGTACACTTTTATAATGATTATTTAGCCCGAAACAAAACAATGAGACTGCTAGCGACATCTTTTGTCGAGTAGACGCTCTACGCAAAGTAAAATCTTCAAGTTGTAACAATAGAATACTATTTTTAAATTACATTCTTTATAAATACAATAGATCGAATTTGTTAATTAAATCTACGTACGGGACAGTTTAATTTGCTTTATTTTATATTTCTTGTTCAGATTTACTCGATTATTAAAAAATGGGTTATATTCTAGAACATTTTTAACTTGTTTAATATAACATAGATTCAATAATAATTTACTTTAAATTCTGAATATATAGCGTTAAAGCTAAGGGTTTTGCGTATCTAACATGTATGAAAAGATTTTCAAATAAACATTATTCATTATGATGTTTTTGGCAATAAAAATCTGTAATGTTTAAACTCTTTCTTCAATATTAGGTATACGGAATAATAGAAGCAAGAGTTTTATTAAAATAACTTCCAATTGTTTCTTCTTATTATAAAATTTTAAACTACGTGTCTTTCTGAGTTATTTCATATAGGTTTTAGATATTAATAAATAATCTCGCAGCCCCAACAATGATATGAAAAAGTGGAAAATTATTATGACATTTTTTTTTATGAAAATTTATTATAATTAACGCACACACAGAGCAACTAAAAAGTTTAAGAAGTTTATAGAAGTTATTTTACATACATTGTATTCAACTAAAACATACAATTATCATTAATCGGTACAAACTGTAGCATAATAGTAAATGACGAATTTAATAAAACAATTGTGTCATTGTTGTCTCATGTACCGTGTTCTTCATACATAACATTAGATTTGTGTTTGAATAAAAATTCATATAAGACATTTAGATATAGCTAGTTAAGTATGGACTTTTATTCAGCATAATTATTTAAACTTAACTATTAAGTACATTGGAATGTAATAAGTAATAATTATCTTTTGTTTTAGGTGATAGCTCGGGATCCTGTTCAGAAGAGGATATAAATAATGTGTTACCCGATGACGGGAGAGATCGGCCAGAGACTCATATGTGCCCTCGCTGTCATGAACAGTTCGAGAACCTACACGACTTCTTGTATCACAAGAGGGTTTGTGATGAAAAAGCAATACAAATGGGTGAAGAAAGAATGCACTCTGACCCCGAGGATATGGTAGTATCGGGGGATGAAGAAATGGATGGACCCAATAAGAGGTTAGATCAAGTAAGAAGGCATCGGCAGGATGCCGAAAATAATAACAGCCTAGAGGATGGTGAAGCTGAAGTACCTGAAGCCGACATGCCCCCAGTAGGCCTTTCCTTCCCCGTAGCAGGCCATGTTACTCTTGAAGCTCTTCAGAATACAAAAGTAGCTGTTGCTCAATTCGCTGCGACGGCAATGGCTAATAATGCGAATAATGAAGCCGCTTTACATGAACTTGCCGTGTTACAAAGTACGCTATTTACTCTACAGCATCAACAAGTATTTCAACTTCAGTTAATACGCCAACTACAAAATCAATTATCATTAACACGACGGAAAGAGGATCAACCTTCAAGCCCGCCTCCGAGCGAAATTGAACAAAACGCTCCGTCAACGCCAGCTCGATCGCCTTCACCACCGCGTCCGCCACGGGAGCCATCTCCTGCTGAACCCACTCATCCTACTAGCCAAAATTTGCCGTCAACCCACACAAATCTTACGCCCAAAACGGAACCTATCTCTATTCCCAAGCTTCCGACTTCATCGCCACCAATGATGTCCCACCCACCTTACAGCTCCATATCTTCCTCTCTAGCATCTTCAATCATTACAAACAACGATCCTCCGCCATCTCTTAATGAACCAAACACTCTTGAAATGCTTCAAAAACGTGCACAAGAAGTACTAGATAACGCATCACAAGGCCTTCTCGCTAATAATCTTGCCGATGAACTAGCTTTTAGAAAATCTGGAAAAATGTCACCTTATGACGGAAAAACAGGTGGACGAAACGAACCATTCTTCAAACATCGCTGTCGATATTGTGGAAAAGTTTTCGGAAGTGACTCAGCGCTTCAGATTCATATAAGATCTCATACCGGCGAAAGACCATTTAAATGTAACGTTTGTGGATCTCGCTTTACAACCAAAGGAAACCTTAAAGTACATTTCCAAAGACATACTTCTAAATTTCCACATGTAAAGATGAATCCCAATCCTGTACCCGAACATTTAGACAAGTATCATCCTCCACTACTAGCGCAACTATCACCGGGGCCAATACCGGGAATGCCACCCCATCCACTTCAGTTTAATCCAGGTGCGCCAGCACCTTTTCCACCAAGCTTGCCATTATATAGGCCACCACACCATGATTTACTTCCACCTCGACCTCTTGGAGATAAACCTCTTTCACATCATCCACTTTTCGCTATGCGAGAAGAACAAGACGTACCAGCAGATCTCAGCAAACCATCTGCACCAAGTCCTACTCAACCTGCATCTGAGGTTTTTAAATCCGAACCGCAAGATGAAGAAAGCCAACGTGACTCTAGCTTTGACGAGTCTGACCGTATATCACCTAAAAGAGAACCTGAAGAAAACGATGCTGGACAAGATCAAGAACAAGATCGATATCCATCAACATCGCCCTATGATGACTGCAGCATGGATTCAAAATACAGCAACGAAGACCAAATCGGCAGAGAAAGTCCACAAGTGAAGGCTGATCCAGACCAACCGGAAAATCTTTCAAGTAAGAATTCTACGATATCTGGACCAATTTCAATAGCAACGGGACTTCGTACTTATCCTTCTTATCCATTGTTTCCACAATCCCCACCTAGCAGCGTATCTTCTGAGAGTCTTACTCCGTTTTCAAATAATCCTGTCCTTGGAGACACCGATGTAACACGAGACCCCATATTTTATAATTCGCTCTTACCGCGTCCAGGTAGTAACGATAATTCTTGGGAAAGTTTAATAGAAATCACAAAAACATCTGAAACCTCGAAATTACAGCAACTAGTTGATAATATTGATAACAAAGTATCTGAGCCTAATGAATGCATAGTTTGTCATCGTGTTCTATCTTGTAAAAGTGCTTTACAAATGCACTACCGCACACATACTGGTGAGCGCCCATTTCGATGTAAATTATGCGGTCGTGCTTTTACCACAAAAGGTAATTTGAAGACACATATGGGTGTACACCGCATAAAACCTCCCTCACAATTATTGCATCAATGTCCCGTGTGCCATAAAAAGTTTACAGATCCTTCTATGTTACATCAACATATCAGAATTCATACGGGTGAACGACTCAATAACCCTTTCAATGAAGTTAACGATAACACCGCGAATAGTTGTCAGTCTTATAACAACGAATCGGACATTACAGACTGTTCTTATCGTCCCATTCCGCCTCCAATTTTTCCTACACCTTCCACTCCCGGCGACCGAAGGGCGGACTCCCGCGGGACCGACGATGAGAGCGGCAGAGATTCTCGGGAGTTCGATGAGGACTCAGATATAAAAAATCGTCGAGCTTCGCCGCTCTCCGTCTGCGCCTCGGCGTCCGAATGCGAAGTAAAAACCATCACCACAACGGCTTCCCTCCCATCGGCGACAGGTTCGGAGAGCGGGCGCAGTGCACGGGCCTCCCCGCCGTCGCCGTCTCCGTCGGTGCTGTCGACGCCCCCGCGGCTGCCGCAGCACTCGCCGCTGCCTTCGCCGCCGACCCCGCTGGCCGCGCTCGGTGCTCTCGGTGGACCTTTCAGCCCGCTCGGACTCGCTTTCCCTCCCGCAGGTATGCGATAGCGGGATCTTTTATATAAGTCCGCCCTGGTCGTCCGAACTTCCATTCCTTTATTTACTCCTAATTTTCATTTTATAACAGTACCTAAAATACGGGGCGTAATAACGACTCCCTGGATTTGTAATAAACATGGACGGTATTAACGTATTTGTGTTGTGTTTTTAATAGTGGCAATGAACAGTCGATTTATTTGTGTACAGTGCGCGGAAATACAACATGTACTATCTGCTACAAGACTTTCGCCTGCAATTCGGCGTTGGAAATCCATTACCGCAGTCACACTAAAGAGCGACCATTCAAATGCACCGTCTGCGACAGAGGCTTCTCTACTAAGGTAAACATTTTTCTTAAAAATTAACAAATGCACGCATAAATTACCTACTTCTTTATATACAACACATACATAAGTGTTTGTTTTAGGTACACAAGCATATTCTCGGTATACTTATTTACCCAATAAAATAATAAACATTAAACATACAACAGTCACGATCGCGCTTATGAAATTCGATTGAATGTTTCTGGCACACGGCCAGTTTATATTTTATTGTTACACAAATAGCGACACATAGCTACGCTTTTACAACGTTTCCTCAAATTTTCACCAATACTTTAAAGACAAAAGCGATCGAGTTATCTTACAGTATTAATATATTACTTTCATATGTTTACATCTTCCTTAAATACTTCAAAGCAATAAAATGCTTAGTAAATGAAAACATTGATACGGAAATTTTGTGAATTATTCTTGTAAGTTAAATTCAGTAACTTTTAACTAAGCGCATAACGAACTTTATGCTCACAATTCATTTTACCCGTCTCTCAGTTCAATAATTTTGCAATCATTAATGAGGAGTCGTTTTATCTAATCCCAATTAATCTTAGTATAGTTTTCAAATGACATATTGAACTCTACCAACATAACATTTTCCATAATGTGATAGAAGCCCGCAGATTTTATATTTTTTTTAAATAGTTGACTGTATGGACAAGTGATTTAAAAAATCATATTTTTTTAGTAAAAAGTTACTATTTACGTACTTAAGATACAAATTTAAGTCATCAATGATAATTCTTTAAGATTATTGTTTTGAGACCTTATGCGATGTTCATTTTAGGTTGCATACCTATATATTTCTTTCATTAACCTTTTATGGCAGTAAAGTCCTTTATAAGACTTTCTTTAATGCCTTTTATGTAACAAGCTACTTAGCCACATCGGCTTTCGCTGATTTAGCGATGCATGCTGGTGGCATTGGACGGAAATTAAAATTCAAAATACATTTTCAGACCAAAGAAAAATTAGTTTAGATAAATATTAATTATTTAATACTTTTATATAATACTTAATTCATTTACTTTAAAAATCAAAAAGAAAAATGTGTTGATTAAAAATAATGTCAGCCGCGTAATTTATTCTTGGGTCCTCAAGCAACTATGTACCTCCCAAACAAATAGTATAAGGCAAGGGGTATAAAATATGAAAGCTGCGTAAACCAATGAATACCAATCTTCATGTTCCCGAGGAGCCGAGATCTATTCAAATCAACCCACAGGCGATATTAAAAGAAATATGAACAATATGCTCTTATTCCGTTATGGCCTTTATGTGCGTTAAGCATTTCGCTGTAGAATATAATAATTAAATAAATGAACTACACACCAATGGTCTCGAAGATATTAATTGGAATAGTAAAAGCGAGACTCGAGCGAAAAGCTGCATTTGCGTCGCGACCCGCAAGTCGCGGCCCATTGTCGGGTCGCCACAAAAATGATAAGTCATAAAAACAACGTCACGGAAAACGATCGGAATATTAATTCATGTCGTAAAATATTTATTGCTTATAAATCCTTGAGCCTTTACCTACGCTTCTCGTCATAAAAAGATTATTTATGCTCGACAAAATAACATTTTTCGTATGTTTCTGAAAGTGACCACGCGGGATTCTTATCAATAAAATATAGATTATTTACGACGGCGCTGGGGTAACATTTATTATCTATTACCCACCGCTTTGACATCAATTAAGCTATAACCATACGTACGCGCACTGTTCTTTATGATTTACTATTGGATACTACTTACTAAATGTAAATAAAAGGTGTATTTCCTTTCATATTTTTATTTAACTTAGAATTCGTTAACACACCGGCAACAATAAAATGTAAATTTATGTTGAAATCTCAGTCAGATACAACAAAACCCTAAGTTATTGAATCGATATATTATAATATTTTAGTGACCGTTTATTGAATGTTTTAAATACTATAAAGATCTACCCATTTTTATCAATAATTTATTATATAAAAACAATGAAAACAAAAACATATTTCTTATTCTGCCCTTATAGACTTAACAAGCAAAACATGTAATTTTTTTTCGAATACTTTCAAACGGCTCAACTTGTTTGAATAGCCATCAGCTACAGTGATCCAAGTAGGGTGCTGGATGGGTGTCCCACTATGGCAATATAGCCTGACCATCAATGAAAAACTAGTAATATCTCCAAATCTGGCTAGATTCATAATCAGATCCTAGATATACCTGGTGGCGAAATGGTAATACATATAAGAATTACAACACTCCAAAATATACTTAACGTTAAAAATGTAAATACAAAACTTAAAAATGTATTCACGTCGTTATCGCGTAGTGCATTGTATTTACTTCTATGTAAGTTTAAGTGAAACGATAAATAAATAAATTGTATTAATTCATAGTTGTAGCGCATATCAGTACACGGTGTGCGCCTTATCACTTAGAGCCTTACAAGCCTATTTGAAATTACAATAAGTGTCGCCGACACCTATCGACGCCGGCACCGAATGTTTACGCGCTAAGCTACCAAGAGCTAAACTATCGATTGTAAAGATCTTTGTAACTATTGAATCAAATTATTCCTTGAATAAAAACACGATCGTCTCTTAGCCAATTTGATTCAGGTTTCATGTTTTAGCTGAAATGTTTGGTCATAATTGTTTATAATTTTTGTCGTTCTCAATTTTTCATATTTTATTTGTTCCTGTACCTTAGTTGTTTATGAATCGATTTTGATAATTCTTAGCATTCAATAGACTTGTTTTCAAGCTGGCCTCCCATAAATTTTGTTAAGATTCTATGAACAAATAAGATAGACAACATTATGCACCATCTAAGTATTCTTAAAATATCAATAACATTCGCACACTTTTTGTATTCAGTTATAAGAGTACTAGGAAAAGGAAAGAGCATATTTTTACATTATCTTTTATTGTAATCACACTCTTTTTTACAATAATATAACGGGTGTATGATTAAAAAGGCGTGACATTCTAGTTACGTAAAGAACGACACTAATGGAGGTCCTATTGATTCTTTTTATTATATCTTCAACTTGCTTTTCCATTTCTAATTATCTTTAGATGTGTTATTAATTTATTATGACGCTATATAGTGGTCATAAATACGTGGCTATAAATTATATTATCCTTTTATTACTCAAAATCATCTCGAAAATCAAACAATAATATAATTAAAAATGAGGTAGGTTAAAATAGATAAAAAAAGAGAGAGGAGATATTTAGATTTAAAATAGTCCTCAGAACTCATTCAATGTAAAGTCATTGGGAAAAGTAAAGACAATAATGTGTTGTAGGTATGTGCATATACTTGTACTACATGCATATTAGTAAAGTTACATGTATATATTATTTACATATAACAGGACTTTAAAGGGTTTTCCTTATGAGTCAATCAATATCTTTACATATATATTAATACTTTGAACAAAGCTATTTTAATAAATTATTTATTGTTATAATTGTATGTTCATGACAAGATTACAAGTTGCTATTAAGTATTGCCGTAGTAACATTATTTCAAAGTAACTAAAACATAACATGTGTACAAAATTGATGATATATAATTTATAACATGACTACTATACGAATACACCGACGCGACGGTACATTTGATAATTATAAAATACGCCTATACTACATTTTATAACATAATAAATCATGGTTACACAAATTAACTATTAAGAAAGACTATAAGTATTCCTATTTTAAGCAGACATACTGAGGTCTATTAAGTATTTGTGCGAAATCACAAGCATTTTTTAAATAACATAATTTATTATAGTTCATAAACGTTAAACTCAATTTAATATAGTATTTGATCGTTCACTACATATGAACTAAGTTCACTTTCACAAAATTGAATAGTCACATATAATTTATACACTGTGTTTTATCCCCAATCCTGTTTTAGTGTGCGTGTGTGTAAACTTTGCGTGTGTTTGTGGTTCCAGAGCAGTGGCGGCGGTTGCCGGTGTAGGCGCCCACGCGCACCCCGCCCGCCGCACGCCACTGCTTTGGACCTCTGGAACGCCTTCGTCTACCCGGTATGAGAGAGAGACGCCTGAGCGTGCACTCTATACATTATTATCCCCTCTAAATACGCTTCGTTTTATCATATATCTTCACGCCAATGCTTTAATAAAGACTTTTATTTTTTTAACAAAAATCTTTGACTCATCAGTCATCACGAGTTGACCTCATATAAAATTTTCATTATTTAATTTTTTCTTCGTTAAATAGTAAAGAGTACAAATTCTATATAATCAAATTTATAACTACCTGCACATATCTTACAAACTATTACGTTCACGTTATTTATACTATATTTAAGGCGATTGAAAATAAAACTGTTATTTTGAATATCTGTTCTAATTACCAGGGAAACATGAAACAGCACATGTTGACGCACAAGATACGTGACATGCCGCCTGGTTTCGAGAAGAGCGTAAGTGGACCGACTGGTCCGCCGAGTGAAGAAGGTCGGGAACCAAGTCCAGACAGACGATCGTCTCCTGAGAAGATCGATTTGAAACGATCACCCCCCGCCTTACCCCCTGTCTCTATAGCGCACCCACCCCCCATTGATATGCCACCACTGCCTAAAAGACCTACAGGTTAGTTACATTCAATTTCAAAATAAAATAAATAATAAGAATCAAAGCAAAATTTCTTCCTCCGACTTGCTTGTTACCGCGTTCTCTTGACCTCCTTTTTGTTCGTTTTAAATCTCTTATAGTATTTGAGCAAAATTGTATATCAAAATTTAATTTCAGTACCGATAGTACCAAATCATCCGCCACCATCTCAGTCATCGAAGCACCTCTGCGGAGTTTGCCGCAAAAACTTCTCATCATCATCGGCTTTACAAATCCACATGCGCACGCACACCGGAGACAAACCCTTCCGATGCGCTGTTTGCCAAAAAGCTTTTACCACCAAAGGAAACCTTAAGGTAAGATTTGTTTCACAAAATATTTTTAACATCTCACATATTAAGAAACGAAATGAATCGTAATTAATGACGTAATCCGTTAAAATATAAATAGCGTCGATGAGTCTGCCAAACCCCACAAAGTAAACAAAAACATACCTACGACTTATTTTTTTGTATTCTTTTTATATATACAGCATTCTTCGGGTTGATTCGGCATGAAATTAATTAAATTAAATTGCATCAACAAGATCTTAATACTTTAACAAAAAAATATATGATACATATTTATAGCTTTAATTATTCGTAATTTATAAATGAAATCAGGGTGTATTTATCTGGATTTTTATGTTTACGTTTTAAGTAAACTAGGATAAACAAACTAGTTGTAATACGAAATGACATGACAAATTATCATAAATTAGTCTCTCCATTTTGTAAATAATATATCGCTTTTCTAAGATTTCTTTTACTGTCTTGAAAAGGGCATTGATTAATGTTCTTTCGCTTTTGTTTTCTTAATAAAAATATATTATATCCAGGTCCATATGGGCACACACATGTGGAGTGGAGGTGCGTCTCGTCGCGGCCGTCGCATGTCTCTGGAACTGCCCCCACGACCGCTACATGAGCCCCACGACCTTCTCCGGCGACCCGATCTCTTCTACCCCTACTTGCCTGCGCCATTCCTCAATGGCATGCAACAAAAAGTAATTTCATGATACATTTAGTCCCATAAATAAAGTGAAAATCATATAATTTTAGGTTTAAGCTCAAATATCTAAACTTTGTTTTTCTTTTCTAGCTGAACGAGATATCAGTAATACAACAGCAAAATGCCGGACAGAATGGCGTAGCTGGTAAATTCCCGGGACTCCTTGGTTTCGGAGCTTTTGGAGCTGGTAGACCGGGTGCCGCCTCCCCTCTCGAGAGGCCACCGTCACTCGATGGTGATGAACGTCAGGCAGCGATGAGGGAACTCGCAGAGAGAGGCAGGGAGCTAGCTGAGAGGAGCCGACAGATGCGTGAGGAAAGTGAACGGGAGCACTACAGATCCGCTGGCGGTCACCCAGCGCATGCGCCGCCGACAGCACAGGCTTCTCCCCCAGCACCACATAATCTACCGCATCCCCTGGCATCAATACCGCCGCCCGCGCGCACCGAAGGTCTCACAGTTTAAATATATCGGTATCCAATTCAAATTAAAAACACATTCCAGACAAACGACTTCGACAGTGATCCGATAAAGTGCGAAATACGATTGGTGTTGCGAACAATATCCACTTTGGACACAATTAACTGGCTTCACGAAACTAGTGTCGCGACGAGTGATCTATAATGACGTTAAGGACAATTCAAGTGTAGCCATGTGTACCGAATAATTATTATGCCTAGTTTATGTAGGTAACTTATATGCATGAGTACGGGCCTGGGGCAATCGGGGACTCTCTGAGTCCCATGTTTATGTCATTACTCTGTGATAGTGCACGATGCGAGTCTGCGCCAACTAGCCGGAGACGAAATTCGGATAAGTTACAGTGGATTCAAATCTATCTGGGGCGCAGACTCATGTGCTATGACATCAAAAAATATTATAAATTATCCCAAAAATTAATTAAATTCATAAATCTATATATCATTAATTGTATATAAAATGTATAATAGTATTGTAATGAACGAATGATTAAGTTTAATATTATGGTATAGACTTAAATAATTATACTATATTTATACTAAACATATAAACTGGAGTGCGATATGCATGATTTTATCTTGTCACATTCCAATGCAAGGAGATTCTTTAGAAAATATGTCCTTCCACTGTAATCTTCGCATATTGGAAACGTTGGTTTTTAAGCTGTACCTATATGAAATACAAAAATTCTTTAAGATTATCTCGATGATTTGAATCAAATAAACTGAATTTTCTCCAGAATGTAGACGCAGTAAATCGTTGCTGTCCACGAATTGTCTTTAGAGAGTACATACTCTGTGTTCTATTTAATTATTGTAATAGAATTAAACGACATATTCATATCATGTAAATTAAAAAAAGTATTTGCATTTGAGGTCTACATAGTTGTAAGTGTTAGAGTCATAGCTATAATATTGCTTTAGAATACTTTGACATATCTTTGTAAATGTAAACGACTGGTGGACGTAGAATGTAGACTTGCCAGTAACAATGCAGACTGAGATACGTTTCAAGGGAAACATTAATTTCCATACATGCATTTGTCGACGCTTGCGATTATTGAACGTTGATAGATCAATTGTTATTTATGTGTTCGATACTTATTGATATATGTTTTGTATTTCACTCTAGATGTGTATAAGTGTCGCTAAATTATTTATAAACTATAAATCATGCATACACTCTTAGTATTAAAGTGACGCTTGCGAGGCTGTAGGTCTCGGGAACAGGATAGTTGTTAGAGTAATTCTCATAGCACCTACATCTATTTTCAAGTTGCAAATAGGTCTAGAGTAGTATTAGCCATGAATATGATGTGTCATGTCCATGTCAGTATAAATAATCATTGTAAATTATTAAATGTTTATGTAAATGTCCAAAAAGTATTCAAATTATTTAAAAAACAATTATACTAATAACACTTTATTTATTTTTTGTTATCCTTCTCCTAAATCCTTACTTTATTATTTTTATCATTTAAAAAGAAATATCTGATGAAGAAATCTAAAAAGAATTTCTTAAATTATATCAGGCTTTATAAGAAATAAAACTAAAAATTTATTTTTATATTTATTTCGTATATAAGAACTTATTTTTAATACTAGAACACATGACGGAAAAGAACTTTCATTAAATTTATTTGTTTAAAAAAATGATTATTGTTCTTTGAAAATTTTAATTTTAAACCTACTGTCTATTGATTGCAGTCGAGTCGAATTATTTAAAAAAAAATAATTAGGTAAAGAAAAATAATTCCAAAAAATTATAATACGAACTAATAAAGTCTTGAGCCTAACAAGCCAATCCACGGAGTCTCCAGAATCAGTGAAGTAAAATATCAATATAAAGTACGGTTTCCAGAAAGACGAAAACTTTTTAAAATATTGAAGTAAGACAAATCGTCATGAAGAACGGCTTCTAGATGTGCTCAAAAATCACATCACACAGAACTATGTTTTAAAATAAATCGACATAGCGCATAAACTATAAGTATAGTAATAACTCAGAAGTTAATGACGCTAGCTAGTTTCTTGACCCGGTTAAGTAGAAGGTCACCCTCTCGGATGGTAGCTTGGTAGAGCTGGGAACGGTCGGCGTCAGCACCACGCCCAGCACCCGTCACCACACACCCAGCCACTGCGTCTATACGACATTGGAGACGACCAGCTGCTGTGAAACTGAAATAAAGGAAATTAAATATAAGTCATAACTGAATAAATAAATATCTTATTATTTTAACAAAGTAATAAGTGGTAATGAATTACAGAAGTTATAACTTAAGTATAATGTAACTTGTAACTTATCCAGTTGAATACAATAAATAATACAATGTAATGCGTAAATATTAAATTTAAACTAAAAAATTTAAGAACCTATAAATTTATTTTATCAATACTACATATATTGTTTTTATTTTTCTATAATACCGAAAATTAACTGAATACCTAACAAATAATTAAATGTTGTCATGTAAAAAAAGACTATACTCACGTAGATATCTCCTCTTCAACAAACTCTCTGGTAACACCAAATGTATCAGCTATATTGTCAAGACTGAGAGAGCGGTAGGCGCGCAGAAGTTGTACATAAGCCTTGATGCGTGCTTCACGTACATAATGCTGATAGTGGGGACGAAATACTGGGTCCACACAGATTTGTGTCTCCACCTATAAAACACAGATCAAATTAAAAATGATAATTAACATGAATGAAAAATCTTTATATTAATATCACACACCCAAGCCAGACTCTTCATGAAGTCTGCATATCTGCATTCATGCAGAGATTCTACAAGCTCTCTTAGTTCTGGGAATCGAGAGCGTAGAGCCTGCACAGCGGCGCCCTGTCTGCGAAGCGCCGCTTGTAAAGCATGTCGCTCAAGTGCTAGAGCACAAGCCAAGACACAGTACTGGATTATCGTACCTGAAATTGACATAATTTGTATAAGTTTTATAACTATATAACATAACTTCAATAAATGTGAAGAATAGTAACAGCAATAGAATTTATAACATAATTTTTTTAAGATATAACTTAAAAAATATGAAATTGTAGTTAAAAGTTGTATGCTGATCAGTGACAAATATATTGTAAAACAAAAAAGTTTAAATGAGGACTGTTTTAAGTCTTCATTAGTCTCCAATATCTTTTATTTTACATTACTTAATGTAAAATAAAAGATACATAAAATATATACCTTGAAGTAGCATGGGATGTAGAAAGAAAACTTTGATAAGTGAAATTTCAAGTGGTAATAATTCTTACCAAAATCAACAAGCTCATATGATTCAAATGTTGATACACAGTCAATGAACAGGTCAGCTGCACGGCTGTAGTCTCGAACTGCGAGACAGTAGATAGCTTCATATGCTTTTAGTTTATTTCTTGAACGCCAATCACCACCTTTGTCAACAAGCTCATGCGCCTAGAATATATGTAAAGAAAAATTTAATTTTCTCCAAGTGTCATAAATAAACACCAAATATATCTGTGGTTTCTTTTAATATATATAATGTATAATGAAGTTATTGTCAAGAAGGGAAGTTGTAAAATAGATCATATATTTTATTTGTTATATAACATATCGTCGGGGATAGTACAAAGCAGCATAAAAATATATAATAAGAAAATTGTCAGAAGAAAGTTTAAGCTGAAATATTTCCTAAAGTACATAATGGTTTTTAAGGTTATTATTTCACAATTAGTAATTATTTAGTGTTTAATTTATGCAGTTTTGCACTATCCCCGACTATTTATAAAATTTAATAAGGTGGAGCTGTATAATATGAATGAGTTATTTTAAAAACAGGTGAATTGTAAAAAAAAGAAGTTTAATTAATAGTATTTTATTATACAGTGTAAACTCCATGTAACATCACTCGATTTAACGATAATATCTCTAAAGCGTCGAAATCATTTGACTTTGGTTAGTTTAGCTTGTCTACCATACAATGATACACTCTACATAGCGTCACAGCCACTCTCAATAATGAAAACAATTAAGTAATAAAAAGTACCTTTTAAGTTGCTAAAATTAGTAAAAACTGCGCAGCTGTGTACGTTCTTTTGTCGCTTTGTTATCCTAGCCCTCAATAAACTCGACTGTCGGAATCATGCATACCGAACTTTCTAAGAAATTCGTTCTTCACCAAGATGCCTCAATATCGCAAGATATGAATAAAATACGTAAGATACAATAACATTACTGGTGCAGCAAAAGACGTCAAACAAAAATAACAGACTATACGCAATAGTGTTCGAATAACATTCTTTTTTATGTACATAAGTACTAACACTAGTCTCAAATAAACTTTGTCTTTTTCTAATTCTGATTTTTCTTCTCTCTATTTAACAGCTCTCTATAACGCCATAAAATGCACAGTCCCTTCAGTGTTGTATAGAGTTTAGACTGTATTTGTTTAATTAATATATTTTTCATATATGTATCTCCTAATTAATATCCCAGAATTATGTGAATGAATTATAAAGTTTTGGGCCAAAAAATAATAAATTACCTTTGTTACTGCTTTCCCCATATCCTTCACATTACATCCGTGGAAGTAGGCAATTCTAAACAAAGCAAATATGGCATCAAGTCGTCTATTCGTTGTTAAGGTTGAATCCTCATATTTGGTAGTGGCAAGTGCAGTTGCTGCTTCTTTATCACCAATAGAGCATAAATAATCCAAACTGAAATATAATTAGGCTTTGTTATTATTAGATTCAGCTACATTATTTTTTAAAGACAAATAAATCATGATTTGTATGTATTTCTACATTTTGGGCTGTACAGCAGTAACCTAGTAGAGTAACAAACGCTTACCGGTCCTGCCAAACAGGAGTTTCTGAATCGTCCTCTTGAAACTTTGAAAGTTTTTCTTGGTTTTCTTTTGCCATTTCATCATATAACTTTTGATCAAATGGCCACCCAAGATCTGCACAAACTTCTTTATAATATGGAGCCATGTTATTAGCCTTTATTCCTTGTAATAACTGTTCCTTAAGTTGTGGATTTTCTTTTAATTGAGGTAAAGAAAGTTTGAATTTGATGGCAGCCAACGCCATGTATTCTGGAGTTACTCCCTCAGCAGAAAGTTCCATTTTGGGATGCTTGATAAATTTTTGAATATGAGAAGATGAAGCAAATTATGTTTCAAAAAATTACTTTTGTTTATAGAGTCAAAGCAATTCAGATGAAGTCAGCAAGCTAACCAAACGAATTTCAATATAATGACATGACACTTTTACAAATCATAATGTCATTACAGTGTCAAATATGTACAGTCACTTGTCACTGTGACAACAACGAAGTGTAATGCAGACTAAATCAAAAAACTTTTTTTAATGTTACTGAAAACGTTGTCCTTTTAAGATTGATGAAAAACCTTTTAAAATCTATAGTAAATATAAGTCATGGTTATAGTAAACCTATGTAGGTCATTAAATGGGAAATAGGAACCGCTTCATATGTAGTGGATGAATATCGAATTAAACGATTTTGAAAAACATATTTGTGATACTCAATAGTTTAGGACACATTTTTAAAAATTCTGGGTAGAAAAAGGAATAAAAATAGGTAATATATTAAATTACGATATAGTCCAATAAACACCTGCTAAAAAATATTCTTAGCATATTTCAAGCTTTCTGGAGTGTATCTAAGATAAAATTACATAGAATATAAGTAAACAAAAAAAAAACTCCTATGATAGAAAGAACACATTATTTTTAACACTTTTCATCAGAATAGGATGTAAAAAAGAATTTACGTATTATGTTTGCTTTAAAAGCAAATACTTTTTTTAAACCTCGTAGTCGGAGAATTTAAGAGAGAGAAACCAAATCTATAATAACTATTATAATTCTTCGAATTTTATAGCTAGTAAGTAATGAAATTTATCTTTTTGAATTAATTACTATAAAGATTATCTATGTATATAGTGAATGCATTTCTGTCCCGGTTCCTGCTACAATTTACAGAGCAATGATGTCAACAACCGTCAACCATCTTATTTACACAGGCGAAACTATTAACATTTTTTCTAATACAACCCCAATACATAATTACAATATAATTCTTTTCTTTGTCTAAAACGTATTCTATAACTCGCCTTTGTGCTGTACAACGGAACTGTCTATTGAAACTGAAATGAAACAAGATTTACAAGATTTTCGGGATTTATTCCTAATTATAAGACCCGCAAGTGTCTCAGTTGAAGACAATTTCTATTGATGAAATACATACGAAAAACGCTCTCCTAATTTTAACTGTATATTTTCGAGTAGCAAGACTAGATCGTGATTATTATGAAAGACTATAAGCACGGAAACTTGACAATAAAGAGAGGATATTAAATGTTGAAAAATAATCATTACCATTTGATACCAGTTCATACTGCTTCTATACTACTAAGCAAGTTGATCAAAGACTAATGAAGAATGACGGGTTTTTGGCTTACATTTGGCTTTGTCAAATCTCTTTTTAAAATCTGGAGCTATTGTTTGATTTTTAAAACTATCACTTAAACAAGCTATTTTTCCGTGAGTTAATTTCATTGAGACGCCCAACTTTTTCCTGTGTGATAATTTTCGATTGTGGTAGGTAACAGAGATAGCAGGGACTAAATATGTTGATTTGATAACTCTCCAAAATTTATTACTAATTGGATCTTTTTATGTTAAATCTTATGATAATTATCTATATTATTCAAAAAAAAAAATTGGCTTATTAGGGATCGAGTACAAAAAAGAGCCATGGATCCTGGACTATTGACACTATTCCGTTAATTATAATTATAAATAAGATATCACAAAACTTCATTTACCTACTCGTCTTTGGTAATATCTATATTTATTAAATAATATAAACCTTATAATTATTGTAAGGTGTTACCTTTACTTGCAGGAGTTTCTTTAGCTTTACTTATGTAAATTTATAAAATTGAACGAGGCTGCAGGAGCGCTATAGGCCGATTTCGAAATACCACAGTCTATAAACACAGACTTTTACGGTTTATCGGTAAATTACCTACACGTATAATGCGGATACTGTAGGGCGAATTATCAGGAATTGTCAATAAAGTTAGGTACCATCTGAAAATGAAATTGTCATATATGTCAAAACTGAACGTCAGATAATAGAAAGTAATACTAACAAAGAAATTATATTTCAATGTTTGTGTCCAAAAAATATGCTGATATTTAACTCTTAACAAATGAAGTTGGTGTCTTAGTTACTGTATTTAAATAACTATAAAAACAATGGACTTAAATAAGTTAGTCCATCAAAATCAAACAATAAAAATCATACCATCGTTAGAAGATTCTCTACGAGGACTTGGCCTTAATAGCGATCTAGATGAAGAAACTGAGATTTGGTTTAATCAATTGAAAATCAAATGGAAAACATGGAAGAAAAGTCCGACGATTGAGCGTCATTTTGACTCATTTTTTCAGTTCTGTCAAGATCCATTCAGAGTTGCCCTAGTATGCATTGTCAAATGTGATGAACCAAAAGATCGTAAGCCTAAATCTCTCTCTTATTGCATACTTGAAATTCTATATAAATGGTCCCAGACATATGGTAGACTACCTGAAGAGACCCTGAAACTTCCAGCATACAATATAGCAACACAACAGAGAAATCAACATTTTCTTAATTTAGCTGTTAAAACTTATCAATTGTATACTATAAAAGAGACTGTACTCCCCCTAGTAAAAAATATGATAAGGAATGATAATTGCAAACAAGCATCACAAATTGTAATAGCAATGGAACTTTTTGATGACATTCCTGTTGAAGATTTACTGTTTCCATTGGTTTTGCAAGATACACCAAACCTAATTGATGAATATTTATCAGAATCTCCAAATCAAATTCAACCTTTTTTATTATTTTTAGATAGACTGTTAGACAAAAATTTTAGTATAAGAGATTATGCTCAAAAATTTATTGAAGAAAATAACATTTATAATGTTAAATATGATAAAATTCATTATAAACCTCTGGGAAAACTAGTTGCTCGGCTTTGTAATAAATTTAACGTTCCTATAGAATCATGTAAAAACTTGAGTAAGAATCGCACAACAGGAGGACTGAGGTATTTAATTCATCAGCGATATGTTGAACACAACTTGAGCCCCTCAGTTTGGGATGATTTGGTAAAAGATTCTTTGAAGCAAAGTACTGAATGTGCTAAAGAATTTGTTGATATGTTAGCAATGCATGATATTAATGAATCACTTAAGTGGTCTTCATATTTTGAAATATCAAACGATTGTCTTCCTCAAGCTCTTCAGAATTTAACAGTAAGAGATAATCCTGTAGAAGAAGAAAATTGGGATACAACTGACAATGTAGCTCAGAACTATTATAGACTTCCAATATCAGAAGAAAAATATTATTATTATTGACACAGCAGAAAATTTTGATGAATTAATCTTAAAGTTGGCGAAATGTCCTCTTATCAGCTTTGATTGTGAGTGGAAACCATCATTTGGTGCTGCAAAATCTCGAATGGCTCTCATTCAAATTGGTACATTTGATCATGTTTATCTTATTGACACTCTAATATTAAACAACAAGCAATACATGGGTAGTTGGTGCAGGTTTAATAAATGTGTATTAGATAATGCAGAAATAATAAAATTGGGTTTTGGAGTTGAACAAGATTTGAATGAAATGAAGTCTTTAATTATTGGTTTAAATAATATCAAGGTTAAAGGTGAAGGGCTTTTAGATTTAGGTTTACTATGGAAAAATCTCGTCAAATGTGGTTTGTCATTGCCAAGTAACAGTGATAATGGAGGTAACAGTCTCAGTTCTTTGGTCCAAACTTGCTTTGGATTGCCTTTGGAAAAGTCTGAACAATGTTCAAATTGGGAGTTAAGGCCCTTAAGAAATACTCAGATTCACTATGCCGCTTTGGATGCTTTTGTTTTGTTAGAAGTATATAAATACCTTCAAAATCTTTGTGTAGAACAACATATTAATTTCGAGGAAATTTGTAATGACGTAATGTTGGATAGAAAACTAAAGTGTCCAAAAAAGAATAAAGTTATTGATTGTTTGCAAAAAACAAAAAATGTAATGGTGAGAACTCCTATGGATATTAAAATTCTTCTCGAACATGACAATGCACATTTACGATATTATCTAAGATACTGTGGTATTGACACTACTATTACTACTTCCCATATGTTATGGCATGATACTGTTAATTTAGCAATATCTGAAAATCGTTTAATATTGACTTCTAAATTGAAGTTTTCACCATCTAGTAGATTTTCACAAAACTTTATCTTAGATATAGGTAAAGGAAGCATCAAGGATCAATTATTAAAAATTCTTAAACATTTTAATGTTGGCCTTCAAAAGAATTATATTTTGACAAGATGTATAGAGTGCAATTCTACAGATGTAAAATATTTCTCTATTAATGATCTCAAAGATATTTGTAAAAAATATGATATGGGTAGCAACAAACCTTCTGATCAGATCAGAAGGAATGCTAGTGACAATGAAGATGATAATGATTATGCTGAAAACTTTCTCAGTGATTCAGAAGGGGAAGACATCCATTTATATAAACCATTTCCAACACAGGACAAATGGTATACATCAAGCAGTGGAGCTAAAATTAATATAAATCAGATTGAAAAGCTATGTGCTTCCAATAAAACTGCTCATATTTGTGAAAATTGTGGAAAATTATATTGTGATGAAGAGCCATTACTTAAATCAATACATGAAGTTATCATGTCTATAACAAATTTTAATTAGAAATTATACATTTTTTCTTAGTACATAGTATTTGAAGGTACAAATTATACACATAGCAACAAAGCAATCAAAAAATTGTGTATATTTATGTATACATTACCTTTAGTATTATTTTTTAGAATCATATAAATAGGTAGCTCTGTTGTTTTTGTTTAAGTTTTAATTATTATTACAATTCCTTAGTATTATTCAAATACAATAATATGATACATTATAATAATCCAATTTCAATATATTACTCATAGTTTTGCTTATTAAACAAATATTCAACAAATTTCATATAAAACACTTTAAATAATAGATGTTATAAAGCATTATACATAATCAATTTAAAAGTGATTTTAGCATCATCAATAACCTGTCATAATAGTACAATCTGTTATATTATAGTTAGATCTAGAAAATAAGATAAACGAGTTTAAATGTTACACTACTATTAAATAATTATTTTTGTAACACAATGTTTTTCTTTGAATGAAGCTATATCCTCCTCCTTAATTTCATTTCCTTTTAAAATTAACTGCTCCAATTGTAACGCAGGAAACCCATCCAGAGATGTTAATTTATTATTCGACAGATCCAATATCTAAAAGAATAGACCAAATGATAGATTAAAAAACAAGTGTTTAAGTGTAATTGAAAAAAAATTAAGAAAATACCTTGCAATGTTGCAGCTTTATAAGTGTTGGCAATATTCTTGATGTTAATTCTTGATTGGACAAGTCAACTGTTTGACAGAAACTATAATATTGCAAATGAGGTAAACTTGTAAGTTTTTCACCAAATCTTATATGAAATTTGTCAATATTTTCATTATAATCATTTTGTAACTGTTGCTCAATGCTCCACATTGATATTAAATCATTGTAGTACCCAGCTCTTTGGTAATCTAATTTTTTTAATCTCTGCAAATTATCTATAACTTCGAGATGATGTAATTTGGGATCTATACAATGGAGAAACACTGTTGTTGTCAATAATGTCCCTGCAATCACAAAAGGTTATACAAATTTACCAGTTTGATGCATTAACCGATTTTTTTATAATAATCCTTACATCTATTATCTGGCTCCAATGCCAGAAGCTGTCTGCAGGAATCAAGTTGATCATTTAACTCTTCTACAACAGGTTTGGAGTACTGATTTTGAAAACTAATTTCACTTTTCCCAATATATACCAAGGGTTGATACTCATTACATACTATTGACTGTTTCCCATTATTATTCATTATATACTCCACCTACAATATAAATGTAAGTAAGTATTTATTAATTTTATTAATTTAAATGGTAAAGACATGTAATATAAACAAAACACTTTGAAAATATGGTCACCTTAATATGAGACTTAGTTAAAATTTTATGTGAATGTTTAAGTATCCACAGATCATCATACTCATATCCTGTACAAGATTCCCATTCCCCATTGACACATTCATCATTTATGTACAGTTGGATATTGTTATTTAAATACTCCTTTGAAACACACTCTTACTCCAGGCAAGAGTAACTTTAGATGGAGTTACGGCACAAGCAACTAGTTTTATTGTTACTTTTACTGCACCTAGAATTATAAGAAATTAAATTTTATACAAAGTAGTTGTAATTTAAAATTTGCTATAATATTAAAAGACTTTTCATATATTTGCCAATTAAAAATATGAAGACTAGATGTTATTTAATTACTTTCTACCAACCTAATAACCACCGTTGATAAAACCAAGCACTAGTATCATCAGGATCTGTAAATGCTGCACTCTGGACCATTTTTAACTCATGTTTATGATGGCTGTCTTGAATTGGTCGTCCACCTGCAATGTACAAATAAAAAAAAAATAAATAAGTGTAACTCCTACTACATAGTCTCATGTTTTTTTTTACATACTATATAATTCCTGCGCATGATCTAATTTTACTGTATTAACTTAATTATTCATAGTAAGATGTCTCAATTATGTATATATGAAAAAAAATTTACCTTCTAAATCAGGATATAATTCAACTAACATTTTACTCCTATAATGCCAAGCTGAATAATTGGAGAAATTGTCATATAGTTTTTCCGTGGTATAGTCAAATTCATCTTGCAAAGGTGGTTTACATTGGCCGACAACAAAACGGCGGTAATCCCATGTATGAACTGAAAATTCAATTGGTATATGTTTATATTGGTACAAATTTGTAAATCATGATTATACATTTTATAAATATGAGATAATTAATATAATAATTATAAAAATATAATATGTTCCTTATAATTAACAACAATTTTGATTTAAATCATTAAACTTGTTAAAATTTTAAATAGTCAGGCAGAACATACAATTTCTTTCATCTATCTTGAGATATGTATTGCAGAGATCAAGTTCTTTTTTCCAGTTTGGATCAGACCTATTAACTAGGACCCATTCTCTTTGATGCCAAGCACAGTAAGATTTAGGGTTAACTTTAAGGCAGTATTCAGTTAGAGTTAGTTCTGAATCATAGAGTTTTACCATCTCTTCCTCAGATTTTATTTTCCTGTAAGAAGAAAAATTACATGAGTTTATAAAGAGATTTCATTTAATGAGGAGTAAGGGATTTGATGTGTTGAAACTTGTCTTATTTATTATCTATTAACTTGTTTATACTCAGTTATATATAAATATATAATAACAACAATAAATCATATCTGCTTGAGTATAATAATATATCTTACTTAAAATTGCTCAATATATCTCTTCTTATATTCCACAATGTATAAATATCAGGATTAGCCAATAAGACCTTTTCAATTATACCCAATTGTTCATCATCTTCTTCTCCTTCTTTTCTCTGTAACATTTATAATTCAAATAAATGATTATATATTTTTAAAATTTAACTTCCATATTTTAGTATGAAAATAATATTTAACATGTTATAACTTATGTACACATAACTATTTAGAATACTCATAATGGTAAAGGCCAATGTAATTAATATTATAAGTAACATATTTTTAAACTAATACCAATCATTTACTTTAGTTAAGTTTCAGTGTAATAGTTATTTTTGATTAGTGTTTATTTGTAAGTAACACTGTTATTAAATTGCAAGTTAATAATTACAGATGCTTACTTTAGATTGAATTTTTTGCATAGCATGTTTAAAAAACTTTAACTTCTCTTGTCTCTCCTTTTCCTTTTTCGCTTTTTCCTCTTCAGATGTTCGAACTTTTATTCTACCGTGCTACAATGACAATCAAATTAAGATTCAGAAGACAATCTTTACGTAATGTATTACAGAAGGAAATACAGGAAAATAAGGACATTACCATTTCTGAAACTGAATTATATTTTTTTACAAAACGTAGATGACAAATCGATTAATTATGTAGAGTAGCAGATAAGAGGTTAAAAAAATCAATAACAAAAGTTTTTCTAAGTTTATAAAATATGTCTAAATTAGTCTTATATAATTGTTAACAACGAAACAAACTCCCATGTAATAAAAAATATTCTGAAACTGGTTATAAACTTAGTTTCATGTTGAAAAACACAAACAAATCAAACAATGTCGTAGGTACATTTGACTGCTGACTGAATTTATTTGTCAAAATGACAGGTCCAAAACCTTTTTAACAGATTAAACATCTTGTTGAGAATGTGACCAATGTGATTAACATATATATACTGCTTTTTATGGTGACAATATAATATTACATACATATTTCTCGAACAGGACGAATTAATTCTTGATTTTCATACTTTAACTAAGCATAAAAGATGTATAAAAAATATTTATTACCTCGTTGATGGAGTAAGTGACTTACGATCACCTCAACTTAGAAATGAAGACTGGACCAATCTAAGAATTCTATAATTTAAGTTGATATTAAAAAGAGAGGCAAGAAGTATTGGAGATAAAAAAAGTTCTCTTTAGATCAATAGGTCCCACGCAGCATTTATTGATCACTATTCCGCTTTGCGTTCAATGCATAACACTGCTGGAATTGAAATTTGAAATTCTATACTTTCGTAGAATTTTTTTTAATACATTGACAAACGCAAACCCATCACTTCATCGAATCCTCAATTTTTCCTGTTTATCAGATATTATTGTCCCCTCAAAAGAGTTTCTTGCAGTGTGATACTAGATAAAAAGCAACTTTGAAACACATCCTAAGAAATCAATATAAGCTTAATAAGAAGGGCATGGATTAATTCAGATTTTGTGTTGATTTCTTAAAGATTATATTATTAATTTTTTATCAAAATCACAAAGTAACTGACACATTTATTGAAATAGAAATTAGAAGTAATGAAAAATAAATCTTTAATAAAAAATGTATTTTGGAAATCTTGAAAGCTTAAAACTGAATAAAAAAAAGCGACATACAAATTTAATAATAAAATATCCGTCTTATTATAGAATTTTATTTTTTATTAAATATTGATCAACTTCATATACATAGTATATTTAAATAAACTTGAAAACAAAAATAAAACTGCATAGAAATACGTTGATAGTTTTCCAACTAAACCTATTATATAACATTGAATTCAAATATACTCTGTTAATAGAATATAAACGTAAAAAGTATTTTTACTTAAAATATAATAATGAAAATCAAAAATAAAATTATTTTATTCTTTCCAAATAGAAAAGGATATTACAATCTATTTTAATGAGTATGTAGTCTTGCAAGTCTCTGTTTTAAAGTAACTCTAGATGTAACGATATGATTGATACTCTATGAGAATTATCTTACGACTCTTGAGGCTTGTTGTCAAATTTGAGATTATCCGATTTCAATATTTTTACATATGATTTTGATTTAACCTTAATGTGTAAGAATGAGTAACGCACCGCAGTTTTCTTTGCGTTGGAATAATTATGTTAATCACGTCACGGAGGCCTTTAACGTTTTAAGATTTGAAAATGATTTGGTTGATGTAACTTTATGTTGTGATGGTGGGAAAATAAGAGCTCACAAAATGTTACTTTCCGCATGCAGCAATTATTTTAAACAAATTTTTAAAGAAAATCCGTGCCAGCATCCTGTGATAATATTTAGAAACTTTAAATTTGAAGATCTCAATGCAATAATCAATTTTATGTATCATGGCGAAGTAAACATCTTTCAAGAACAACTAGAATCATTTTTAATCACAGCAGAGCTTTTAGAGGTTAAGGGATTGACTGATAACGTCGAGGACGAAGTATCAAAGAATCAAATAAGAATTGTTGAAAATAGTTCATTAGATTTAAGTGCAAAATCAAGCAGATCAAATGAACAATCCTTACCTGTAGTAGTTGAGGAACCTATAAATTTAGCAACACTACAATCAAGTAGAAATGAGGACATTCCACAGGACGACAACATATCTGTTCAAGAAGTTGAGAGTAATGTTTTGGACCCTCAGCCGGAAACTTCAAAATCTGATAATTCTATTGCAAAACACAAAATAGCTACAACCAGTGAGGAAATGCAAGTTGATACACAGAGCACTGCCGAAGACTTGTCTGATAAAAATAATTCAGGTATACCCTTATAACCCTTAAGTTGTATAAACATTTATTACATAATCAAATACTTTAGAAATTCATAACAGTTCACAAATTATTATTGCATTCAACACTATTTGAAATCATTTATTTATGTTCTGTTCTATTTGTTAAGAATAATATTAATTCAAATGATAAAACATAATCTTAATGTATTCTTTGCAGAATCAGATTTAGCTAAATTTAGATGTCAGCTGTGTCCAAAAGGTTTCAAGCATCCAACGTCACTAACATTGCACAAAGACTCGCATGCAGGGAAGACCAGATGTCCAGTATGTCACAGGTCATTTTCACGATCATATGACATGAGAAGCCACCTACAAAGAATACACCAAGGGAAACAACTTACGATAAAGGAAATCAGATACAAAAATAACAGCGACAGTGTAGTTGCACCAAAACAGTTTACTCACAATATATAGTGTTACCTTCTGGTAACTTGTGTTACCATTTAGCACAAAGTGCAATTAATTATTGTATTTATAACTTATTAGATGTGTAAAATGAAATGTATTTAAACTATATTATTCTTTTATCATGTCACAAATGCAAATTTTGCTCATAAATATTTTAGCTTTGGCTAATTTTACACTAGTCTGTAAATTATATATCTATTATTGTTAAGTAAAAAAGAAATATAATTGTTTTTGCAACATTATATACAATTTTGTTATAATTTATTTCCCTGTTAATTATAAAGAGGTAAATAGGGCTATATTTACTGCCATAATTAGACAATTAAAAATATGTACAACCTACTATAACAATAATATTTTTATGTGGAATCCTGGTTTTATCATGAGTAAAAACAAGATGTTTATTATAATTTACTAGACACTTGAACATGCACAAGCTTAATTTATTTAACTGAATTTAAATATTTATAAAACTGGCTTTTCGTTAATGTTGTAATAAATGTTTTGAGTACTGTCCTGTTCCTACAAATACTATGTTTATTTTAAAAATCATTAAAAATAAGTTAATTTCGAAGAACAGACATAATTTTAATGAGTAATTTCAATAAATAATAATAAAGTAAATACGACTTTAACCAAATTTAATGTAATCTAATATTTTTGTTTCTTTTGCAAACAGTGTTTTTTTAGCATAGTTATTAATTTCAAGCTTTCTTTAAAAACCTCGTCACACTAGCAAAGAGATGATATAGTGGAAAAGAAACTGTGTTTTAATATTTTAAAATCGCAAGCAATTTTTACCTTGACCTTAAAGTTCCTATGAAAATAGGTCGTGAATCGTGATTCATAAAATATATTTTAATGACTACGGTACCGGAGTAATATCAATATAAGATGAATTAAATACTTGCTAATGTTTCAGTTTTCCACTTAGTTTAATATATATATGCAATAAAGGTCTTTTGGGATAAACTAAGTTTGTACTAGAATACATTATTACAATCCAGTTGGTGTAGTGCATTTAAGTTTTAGGGGTGGAGTGTGGGCTAACGCCACCGTACGTAGTGTAGCAAAAACAGGGGCGGCAAAAGCGGGGGTGGCGGGGTCGGGCTACGCTCGATACGCGCGCGCGCTGCGGACTTCAAATTTCAAATCAGTCCACTACTAGTCGCGTTTGGACGCTGTTTGTGTTCGTGCGTTACGTATGAGAAAAATTATTTCAACTTCGCTACGATATCTCTATTTCGACAGCAATTCTATTAAGTACGTATCTAACATTAGTATCACGTTATTTTGATATAAAACTGTGAAGTTAACTTTGAAAATGGTGTGGTTTCTTTTTGGACATATTCATTTAATAATTTGTTTACATTCGTCTCACGTGTTTATTGCAAATAAATAACGGTCATTTGATAACACAAGAGTGACATAATAAATACAGTGCTTTAAATATAAAACCTCAAAATCGTAGATTAGTCCAGCGAATTTTATGCCGCGTTTATTGCAATTTTTTTCGATGGCGTTTCTAAAATTATATTAGTCATTAGCCTGTCTTTCTGTATTTTGTGAATATCTGTAAATAGTAATTTTGAAATGAGGTGGGCTTCTATTCAGTTTAATAAGTGTGTGAATATTTGATGGTGTATCGTGAACTGGAGCGCATACAGTCTAGATTTGCTCGCGAATCGCCGCGCGGCGGCGCAAAGGGGGTATTGATCGGCGGCGGCGGGTCGCGAGACGCCGGCGTTGCCGCCTGCCGCCTAAATAAAGCTTCGCATGTGTGCCGACTTCGCCGCCCTACGTCCAAGTCGATGACTTAACGCGCCTTAAGCTTTCAGATCATTTAATGTTTTATGATCCTTTCCCCGTGACATTAACTGTGATAACATTGTAGGGTCTTAGAAAAATATTGACATTTCAGTTGAGGTCACTAATACGATGTCCAGGTTATTAAGAAAATTGTAAAATAATAATATAGCATACTATATTTCGATAAATTTATCACAGACATCGGTATACAATATCTTTATATAATAATGTGTCAAAAATTCTTAATACTTACAAATTTACACCACACATAGTAAACTGTTGTTACTATAACGACACCTCATAGTATATTTAAAATTTATTTTGTTTCAGATGGAAATGTCAGGATAGTTAAGGATATACCTTATCAGAGCCATGGCGCACCTAGTGGTGGTGGGAGGAGCTTTGCTCTTCTTATTATGTTTTGCTCTGAATACAAGTGCACTCATCCTCTTGCCGCACGATGTCCGCCCTGGCCACGCTGTTCGACATTTTATTGGTAACCATTCGCGTTACACGCTACTTGACCCGGAATATGAACCTTTCTTTACATTACTCGACGATGGATTGCTTATGACAACAGCTGATCTCGGACCACTGTTGAATCAACCTCTAAATCTCGCCATCTTAGAACAAACGCCATTTAGCAGCTCGGCCCATACAATCCATCTATTAGTTATGGACCGCAGAAAAATGATCCATTTTTCTGATGTTAATGCCGTTCATGGTGAAATTCCTGAAAACGCTCCACCAGGGTCCGTTGTAGATTGTCCTCCTATAAAAGCGACTGCTTTAGTTAATGTTGGACCCATTGCTTATAAGATCACAAAAGGAAATGATCAGTCTGTCTTCGCCCTTCGTGAAAAATCGCGGCCTAGTAATTCCGATATCAAATCGGTAATAACAGATGGAGACGTAGAAATTGTTGCTATGAAACCATTGGACAGTGAAACTAAGAACCTTTACGATTTAGTTATTCAAGCGACTGATTTACACGGAGCAAATAAAGCTAGCCTTCCGGTTCGCATCAACGTTATTAATGAGAACGATCATGAACCGATTTTTGAACAGGAGATGTATTACTTTGCTGTTAATGGCACCTGTGATGATAACTGTCACAACGGCACGGCTTATTGGCAACGCTTTTCTACTATCGGAAAAGTTCGCGCTTTTGACGCCGATGGCGATAGAGTATACTATTCACTAAAAACCCCATCGAATCTTGCGGTGATTGTACCACAAACTGGAGAATTAATACTGGCTGGTGAACCGGATGGACATGAGGCTGAGCTGCAAGTTTTGGCTCATGACGTAGGAATCCCGCCACGGAAAAGCCAACCGGCACAAGTTTTCATTGAATTTGTAATACGCGAACGAAAAGACATGCCCACACTGCATCGTGAAAAGAGAAGAGTCACTCGAGCGGTTCGTCCTACTAAACGTATAGAATTCACCGAGGCCGATGGCGAAGTTGAAGGGCGTGCGGTGTTTACTCTCGAGAAAGAAACGGACCGTGAGACATTTAAAATAAGGGACGAAAATCCTTGGGTAACCGTTGAACCTAGTGGTGTAGTGAAAGTTAAAAAGAAGTGGGACTATGAAGAGTTGGGTCCTGAGAAGACTATTGATTTCTGGGTCACCATCACGAACGCTGGGAATGGAGGTAAGGCATTTTAAAATTTACAACTATTTTATTTATACATTATATCAATATGTACCTTAAGCAATAATCTTCAGAAAAGCAACTGACAAATAACGTTTATTTTTAATTCCATTAATACGTTAGAGCTATGTTAACTGTTAATCCTTGAAAAAACATTAACGGTAATACTTAAGTTCAACAACATAGTTATAAGAAATATTTCAATGAATATTAATAGCAATAGACACATTCTTCAAATATTATAACAAAAGCGTGGCCCAGTCAACCTGCTCACACCTGTCGTATCGAATGGTGCAATGGCGCATGACATTTACAGACAGGTCTCGTCTTTGATGGCGTTCCCATCACGACCGATGTAATCAACCTTTAGATCATAGAAACTAATCATTTTATTCTATGAAATTCTATTCAAAATACTGAGTATAAATTGTAAACGGGAGTTGATAAATTCTTTACATTTAATATCCACTTATTTCGACTAGGTCAAGGTAGTCTTTTCAGATGAATGAAAAATATCTTCAACTAAAAATTTTACCTTCAAATAATAATTAAACACGATGTAGTTCAAGTTGTCGTTTAAGGTTAAGAAGAACTCAGTGTGTGGTTATAATGATAACTATTACAGAAATACTTTTTTAGATCATTTGAATTTTGTGAAATAATTGACGTCTTTGATTGACATGTTTTCGAACTTACGACCATATTAATGAGATAAGTTATCATAACCTTTCACATATTTGTTTTATAACATATTATTAATATTACTACATTCCACTCTCCAGAACGAATGTTTGAAGTGCGCCACTCATGACAGTCATAATGTAGAGTAATTTAGTATTAGATACGTATAAAATACTTCTAGCACGAGACTAGCTGCTTGCTGGCATCTTCATAACATACATTAATCATAATAATGAGACTAGTTGAGGTAGCGAGCGTGCGGAATGCGTAGATAAACGTGGAGCTGTCGCACGACCCTGAGACATCCTATCATGAGAATTTTTCACGCATTGACCATTGATGTTACAAACGCTTTTTCCATGGCGTGTGTATCGAAATTAAAATTATACGAACGGTGTGAAGCTTTGATTGCCGATTTATAAAATAATATTTTTATGGTTGTACCATTCTTATTTTCTTTCTATTTGTACAGATATTTTTGATAATAATTTGCAATAAATAACGAAATTCCATCTAAGAGAGTAAATGCCATCCCATGAGATTTAGCGTATATCTTTTTTAAAAATTATTAAGGGTGACATTCGAAGGGTGATGAATTACACATAATGTCAATGTAGTTCATATACGTTATAAAGGGGACTCCTCATTCCTCTTTACATTTCAATATATGTTTAAGCTTTAAGCCTTGTGCAGCCAGCTAAGCCAGTTTTGTTAAATGAATTTTATATGACAGAGTAATTAAGCATCTCTTTCTTACGTGAAAAATGTTTATCCTTATCATTCAGGTTTATCCCACAGGGATAAGAAACTTAATAAATGAATATTATAAGTAAGCTTACTTTCATAAGATTAATTAAATTTGTTTAGAAGGAATAGTCTTATATTAAACTAATTTCATTAAAACGTTGTTTATCTAGACTTTAGTTGAAATATTTTTTTAATATCGTCTACTTTTTAATATAGCCTAAAACACCAAATCGTTGAAGTTTATTTAAAATATTTAGAGCAAATATTAAAAAAGTGTTATAGAGCTGATATTTTAGACATATTGTCGAGATGAAGCTCGCTAAACAGTTACGGTCTGTTGGTTATGTTTGTTAGACGTATTCATTCAATCAATGGCGATGGGTGCGGGCGTCGGTCGCACAACAATCCAGCACTGGCCAATTCCCCTCATTGTGTCCATTCGCCACAATTACATACACTTCCTATGAATGACCCCACAAGTTACACATGATCTGTTCACAGCTGCTGTTTCACATTTTATGATTGTTATAGATGCACGCTGTATGACTATCAATCGAATGGTGAACTTTTAACCTTTTCTAACTTATTTGAATGGACAAGTAATCAATACTAGACGTCATAAATTATTTTGCTACATTTATAAATGAAAGCTTTCTATTTTAATTACGTTAACGCTACATAGTAGGTTGTAGTATTTAACTGTTTATAAATCATTATTATTAATGAAATTTCAAGTATCCTGCGAATATTTGCCCCTAGTCGGGTTTCCTACGAGCTGGTCAAGATATGAGTGTTTGCAGACCACTTGTACATTGTTGGTTATTTGAGTACGTACAAGCACGTCTAGTTTGTTTTTATTCTAATAACATATTTTACGTACTTTAAGTACGGAATGATGTTGTTTAAAGTAAAATCTTCACCAAATATTCCCACGTTTTTGTAGCTTTATTGATGTTTGTTCTTTGATTTTGACCTAAAATACTTGATGAGTTTAAACACTATATAGCATTGTTAGCGTATTAGTAATATTCCTCATTGAATAATTAATAATCGATCATTATGATGGTATATATTATTTAATATGTATTGATAATAAATTACAATATATTTCCTCGAGATCGCTATATTTTCTATATAAATATCTTTCAAAAACCCGATTTTAACCGCTTTTGGAAACAATATGGCTATATTGGTTTGCGCGTGAAGAACATTTTATATAATTAGATCTAACATGTTGTAATGTAAACAGGGCACGCATGAGAGCGTGAGTTATCTCAGCCTCCCGTCTATAGGCTTTCACTCTGATAGTTATTTGATTGCGGTCATTTGCGCGTCTTACTAAACGGGGAAGCGATACGTTTACACGCTAAGTACAGCTTTGTATGAAATAATTTTGATAAACACGGAACATAATTATACATTATGACAAAATATTTTTTATTTTCCGATTCTATGGCCTAAAAATTGTAATTAATTGTTATTGATGGTTAATATTTCGACGTTACTTAATATTGATTAACAATTTATAATCATATATCTTGAGGTACCTAAATTCGACATGAGATTATTGGCGATAAATTTTTGTGTAATTATACCATCGATGAATTAATAAGTAATAACAATTAAAAAGCTTTCAACAAAGTTTGCAGTCGAAGGCTTCTAAATTACTAAATATTGGTTTTGGTAAGGTTGAAATTTACGTAACTCGTTGTTAGCCGGTCCAATTTTTATCGATCGAATCGTAACTAAACAAATAGAGTATATACATAGTTTAGTGTATATAGAAATACCTAAATAGTTCAAATTTCTTTTTCATTCTAAGCCATGTGCTGTGCGGTCTTCGCGGACGGCTCTCCATAACGCATTGTTCACACAGGAATGGTAGCTCGAGAGCTCTCATGGCCCGATTGGCATTCACTCCATACATGTTCCCCCTTCGTCTGCGTTCAAATGTGAGTGGTTCCAACCCTCAACTGACTTAAGACTGTGTAGTTTTAAATTATTGGGCTGCACTATATGCAAATATACTCGTGCCTGTTTTTGCAATAAATCTATACAATATACATAGGTATATCCGTAACACTAGGCATGTATATGTTAAATCTGTAATTTTTTAGAGAGTTTTTTTTTTGCATACTAGTTTTGAAAATTAGATCGAAAAAGAAAATTTGTAATATATAGACTACGCATAACATTTCCACTAGGTACATTTGACGTACTATACGTCCTTTCATAGGAAATTTATTAGAATCAGAAACAGTATTGCGAGGGTAACCTTTATTGCTTTATTGAGATTTACTGCAGCCGAGGGATAAAGGTGCAATTGTTTGCTTTTCGGCCTTTGGGAAATAAGCTGAAACTGATCTACTGCATTAATGGTTTGCGTGAACGTAGCTCGATCTCATTACATCCCTCGGCAAACATCACTGACCAACCCCAAGTAGGTAATGTATTACTGAAACTTTACTGTTGTAATTAAATTATTTTTATAACTCCAGAGTTCCTATATGGTTATTTTCATTCCACTTAAATACGTAATACACATAACAAACAAGTATTGTTCAATGAATTGTGTACTTATAACCTTATTTAATAGATAAAATATATTATATAAATTATAGAACATTTACTATTTTATAATATAGCGCGATATATCCCAATAACACAGATTCTGAAGAGAAAAGAAAATGATTCTTTTGAGATGAAGAATCCTAAAACTGTATTTATTTCAAGTAAATTTGATATAACGGTTTGATTACAGTGTCGTGTAGGAACTATTTGAGCAAATCGTGCTTGATGATTATTTTACTGCTGGTGGCGAAAGTTGTCCGGTTAAGATTGCTTTCGTCACACAAAATCATTCGAATATTGTGTTTTTCTATTTATTTTAAATATCTTAAAAATAACTGTACATCTGTAGAAGATTAGTCAGAACATTATATCTGTCATCCGCTTTATTCAGTATAAAAAAGTGTGTCGGTTTAGTTGTACCAAAGAGAAATTTGAATTATGTACATGAATACTTTTATGTACATTGTATGTAGTAACATGGCGACAATTTATGTCTATTGTTAAAATAATTTTGGTCTAAGTAGTTGATTATTTACAAAAATAAGTATTGACAGTTCAATTTTCAGATAGTGTTATTAGTAAAAGCTTTTTCTAGGCAGTCAATTTAGATTATTTGAAAATTACTTCGAGAAATTCAACTGACTCTTTTTAAAGGTACAATAGTTTTTTTTTATAATACAATGATATTTATATTTATATGTATTAATTTTGATCGTAGTTACACGTAACTTGACATAGAGGGTTGCGTCGGTAATGGTCTCTGTGAAAATAATGGAATTAAGTTCAACTGCGCGTTCATAAACGGGGCCAGCCTCCCACTGCTTTTAGAGATGATATGGCATTTTAAAGGAAACACACATGTGTTTAATATAATACACTGTAACCTTTTACATCATAATCTTCTTTGTTGTACTTACTTAGTTATTCGAAATAAAAAATGTAAATAGTCTCGGTAATAAATTCTATTTAATAAAGATATAAATGTTAAATGTATTACGTTA